CCGATACCCAGAACAGATCTATCATCAGCGTTGACTTTATTTCATTTGGAAAGAATGAGAGCATTGTTGAACATATTGTTCCCCCGCTAATGGGAACCATATGTTGGGCAATACGTCCTAAACGTTATTCCCTAACTCTATAGTAAGCTGCTGCAACAGGCTGCCCCAGAGGACACCCAGGGCTTCATGTACACGTGTTAAACTTCTGTTATGAGGGCGCTACGATAGAGGGTTGGCATGGACTAGTGTGTTTGTGTGTGTGTGAGAGAGAGGGGTGGTGTGGTCTAGCTAGCCAATACTGCAGTGACTACTCAATGCAGCCTAACATTATACAGTGGGTACATTATGGCAACATTGTAGAGTAAGTTTTGCCTAACAAAAGCTAGAAGGGCTCCTTAATACTATGCATTCATTGGTCTATTATGCATTTCCACTCAAGGAACCTAAATGTCAATGGTCTGTGCAGTGTAGTGTACCCAAGGTAATGACTACTCAATACTGCCTACTTTATACACTGGGTACATTGTATCAACATTGTGGAGTTCAGTTTTGTTTTAATGGCAGACGTTTGGAAATAATTCAAGAACATGCCCTCCTGTAGCTCAATAGGTAGAGCATGGCGTTTGCAACGCCAGGGTTGTGGGTTCGATTCCCATGGGGGGCCAGTATGAAAAATGTATGCACTCACTAACTGTAAGTCGCTCTGGATAAGAGCGTCTGCAAATGACTTAAATGTAAACATGTGAAGGCTACATGTGCAGTATTTCAAATGATGCAACACATTGTACCAGAAATAAATCCAGACAGCATTGTATGAAATCCATGTTTCCTGCTTTAACTTCCTACTTTTCTATAGTCAGGACTTCAAATAAAAACGGAATATGATTATGTAATACCCTAGTTCAGCCGGTTTAGCTGACGTCAAAAAAACGATCCGACCGCTTCAAAAAGGGGCAGAAGGCCGTGCGTCATGATTCGGAACAGTCAGATACTGTAGCTAGCAACAATCACAAGAGGCTGCCATCGTAAGTGGCTTGTTCCAGGTCGTTTGAGCTTGTTCTTGACACCAGGTCTTGATTTGAGGTGGTGTTTTGACTGATGTCACATCTATGCTAATATGGCAAAAATGTGCTAGCTAGCTAACAAACAACAGTAACTATGTATTTGAGAGACAAGTGCTCATTGTCCAACTTTATTTATGTTTTAAATAAACATTGGAGATTAAATATAGTTTACATGTGATCATCAATCTAAGCCAACCTCATCTGTTTTGCCCCATAGGTGCACACGCAGCGTTTTCTTTGCGAAACAACCAACCAGTCTATATGTGCTTTACTGCGGCTTTGTGCGAAGACAGGGTGTATTAGCTAGGTTTCCATCCAAATTAGGTCTCAAGCGCTAGGTTTCCATCCAATTTGCGACAGATTTTCATGCGAATATTGTAAAATATGTAAAAAAAAAAAAAAACAATATGTGCATTTCCCCACCAGAGATGTTTCCATCAAATCGAATTGTTGCGGGTAAACGGCTGTGCCCGATGAAGTACTGCACAAAAAAATAACGTATGCAAGGTTAAATTCCCTTATACCGAATAACAAATACAAGTTAAATGGGTTTCCATCGCATTTTCAACTCTACTGATGGTTTTCCTCACTAAAAATATTGCGTTATATAGTGAATGTGGCCACTCTGGTCTCGGCACGTGCACTTACATAAAAAAAAAGAAGTCATTTAGCAGACGCTCTTATCCTGAGCGATTTACAGTTAGTGAGTGCATACATTTTTCATACTATAGCCAATAGCTTGCACTCGCAAATACAGTGCAGGTATTGGTGGACAAAACAACAAGATTATTTTTTATTTGTCAAACGGCTGCCAAACATAGATTATCATGTCACCAGAATACAACCCTCGATATTTATTGAAAGGAGCATCAAGCTCATCACCGTGCACTTTCACCACCCTGTGAAGTTCATCATAACGCATTTCATCTGTAGCCTATAAACTGCATGGCTTCCCAAAGTCGTAGTGGGAGAACCACACAATATTATCGCGTGAATACAATTTACTTCGATATATATATATATATATATATATATATATATATATACACACACAAAGTAATGACATGGTAAACTTGCTGTATTTACACATGCTTTCTGGCATAGTTTGAAAATAGTAACCACATGAGGAAGCATGAGGCAGCAACAACAAACAAGAACATGACTGAACTCAAGTTTAGGTTTTATCCTTTTTTTATTTTGAACTTTGATACATTTCAGTTCCTCCTCCACAGGTAGCTGCATGGAGGCGCCTGTCCAACAGTCACCCCCAGCCTCTGACCTTTAACCTTATGCCAGGGTCAGACATGGTGACCCCCTCATAGGCCCAGCAGCCCCTCCAAAATGGAGTCTTATCGTTAAAAAAACAAAAACAAGCAGCAACTCTGCAGTCTTGATTAATCCCACCATCCCTGTATGTTTAATGTAAAATTTAGTACATTTCCCTCCTTTTAAAAAATACAAAGTACCGTACTCTTATGTACAAATCAACAACAGTCCAACAAACTTACAAACACAAACATATTGCTTCTTCCAACCTTGCAGCTCAGACACGAATCTGCAACCATTGAAGCATTCCATGCTTAACAATACACTGGTGCTTAATTTTTTCCTAACTCAGGGATCAACATACCCCCATTCTGTTTTTTCTTTTGGGAGGGTTTCCTCAACAACAAAACGTTTTAAAAAAAGGAAGTTGAAGAAGGTGAATGTGATGCATGCTGGTAGTAAAGGACCAATCAGACGTCAGAACAGAAGATAAAACAGCTCTCTCCACAGGAGGCAATGAGCTGCAGCTCAGATGTCCATCTCAAACTGGCTGTCATCTACAGAGGGAGAGAGAGACAGCAGGAGAAAGAGAAGGAGAGAGAGAAGGAGAGAGAGGATAGGGAAGAGAAAAGAGATTGACATTAACAAATCAGTCATTACTTGTATCAGTCCACTAAGTCCTAACCACACCCATAATAACGTATTGACGGGGGAGTGACAGTGTTGTGTTCATCCTTCTTATCAATGTGGTGTTTTTGTCAACTCCAGACAGGAGAGACAACAAATCTCCCAGAGCAGACACACAATCCCCTAACCCCTCTGTTTCTGTTTGTCTGTCTGTCTTGGGGGCAAGTAGAGGGGAGAGAAAACAGGTCATCTTTAATCGCCATCCTCTTTAGCCTCACAGAGAGAAGGGGAACAGAGGGGAGAGAGAAATAGGAGAGAGTGGAGGGAGAAAAGGGGGAGGGGAGATAGTGGAGGGAGAAATAGGAGAGAGAGGGGGGAGAGAGTAGAGGGAGAAAAGGGGGAGAGAGAAATAAGAGAGAGAGGGGGGACAGAGTGGAGGGAGAAATAGGAGAGAGAGGGGGGAGAGAGTGGAGGGAGAAAAGGGGGAGAGGGGAGAGAGATGGACAGAAAGAGGGGTCAGAGAGAAACAGAAAGAGATAGAGGATGGTGTGCCTAATCTCCACAACAACAGTAATCTCGTGACCAATAGCAGCAGCAGCCAAACCTCAGACCACACCAGGCCACTCCCTCTCTGCTGTTGAAACAATCTCCATTTAACTGTTTATCTAGTATCTAGTGTCCCTGTGCTGGCCTGACCTCTCAACACAGATAACCAACTGGACCAGAGAACCAACCTGATACTTAACGACACTGTTTGCAACTAGCCCACAGCTCACCATCGTAGTAGTGTGTGTCTTCAGCCGCAAAACAAAACCGTGCCCTATGACAACAACAGATAGGCAGCTGATACGTAGAGATATCTACAGCAAAGTACCAGACAAGATACACACTGATATGAACAGATAGCTGCAGAGTTTTGGATAGGACAACATTACACAATGTTCTATGGGCAACTCCGATTTGGTAACGGAATTTCAAGTTTTAATCACTTAATAATTCATAAACAAATTTGATATCAGTAAAAACACCAACTAATTGATAGGTCTACCTTTACTTGTTACTTCTCTGAACTTTCATTATCCTCCCTCATAAGGGAGAGAAATTAGAACATACCTTAAAGATGTGGGTTTTTGGTAACAGAATTTCAAAGCACAAGGCAAAGTCTTAAACTTACAGCAGGCAGAAAAAATTATCCAAAACTAAATATAAGTGTTGATATTAGTTGGCAGGGGTCTTTACTTCAAAATTGTGTTTTGAGGCATTTCTAATACCTTAAAACGTTTTAATGGTAGATGTTTTCTAAGAAGCCTTTTCCATCTGTTTTAGGATGGACAGTTTTAGAAAACGGTTTGCCTTAATTTCTCAAAAGTATAGACTCAGCTCTCATTTGACAGCCAATTTGACATGTTCCTATGAACTTCACATGTTGGTGCTCATGGGTCCTTTTACCTAATGTGAATAGGCTACTTCTAGGAAGAAAGCATTTTTCTATAGTAAATGAACAGGGCCCAGGACTTGGAAGTCTAGGTCCTGACAGACTAGTATTAGGTAGGCCTATTACATGACTTTGGTCCAAGGATGCAGTGGCCTAGTTTCACAGTACCGTCAAGGGGATAAGGCCTAGTAACGTTCCACAAACACTCAACACACAGACCAGAATAACAGCAGGTGATAATGCCTGACAGACAGGAATAACAGCAGGTGATAATGCCTGACAGACAGGAATAACAGCAGGTGATAATGCCTGATAGACAGGAATAACAGTAGGTGATAATGCCTGACAGACAGGAATAACAGTAGGTGATAATGCCTGACAGACAGGAATAACAGCAGGTGATAATGCCTGACAGACAGGAATAACAGCAGGTGATAATGCCTGACAGACAGGAATAACAGTAGGTGATAATACCTGACAGACAGACAGACAGACAGGAATAACAGCAGGTGATAATGCCTGACAGACAGGAATAACAGCAGGTGATAATGCCTGACAGACAAGAATAAGAGTAGGTGATAATGCCTGTGAACTGCTGCTTTGGCCTTCTATTCCCCCTCATCCACTTCTTAAAACAACCAGGCTAGAAATGGCGTCAAGAGTTTTGCTCAGTAACACATAGCTGTTGATACTGCATACACACATGTCTGGTAAGAATAGGATACACTGTACATGCAGAAAGTTATCCTACATTTCACAAAGATGTGAATAAATTGGCAACAATGTGCATGGATAGCAGGTAACACTAGATTCCATAAAGACATGCAAAGAACATACAGCTAGGTACATGTCAACATGATCATATAGCTGGTTGAATGGGAATAAAGGCAGGGTAGCGCTAGCAGCCGGTTATCCCAGTGTGTACCTACCATGTCCCCTTTGACCTCCTCTGTGTGTGTGTGTGTGTGTACGTGTTCATATGCACGTTTATGTCAGTGTGCACATCTGTACAGAATGTGTTTGTGAGATATACACTACCGGTGAAAAGTTTTAGAACACATACTCATTCAAGGGTTTTTCTTTATTTTTACTATTTTCTACATTGTAGAATAATAGTGAAGACATCAAAACTATGTGTCCAAACTTTTGACTGGGACTGTGTGCGTATATATATATATATATATATATACACACACATACATACATACATACACACACAGTGAGCTCCATAATTCATTGGACAGTGACCATTGTTTTGTTATTTTGGTTCTGTACTCTAGCACTTTGAGTTTGAAAGGATACAATGACAATGAGCGTGAAGTGCAGACGGTTAGCTTTAATTTGAGGGTATTTTCATACATATCGGATGAACCGTTTAGAAATGACAGCACCTTTTGTACATGGTCCCCCCATTTTAAGGTACTACAAGTATTTGTTAAATTGGCTTCACAGATGTGTGTCGTTAGGCAGGTGTATTCATTTGTGTCGTTAGTGAATGCAGGAGAGCTGTTGATGAATAGTAATGATTCTAGACGTTGCTATTGCCTTTGGAGGTTGTTATTGGGGTGTGACAACATGAGGAAGACAGCCGTGTCGATGCAAATGAAGTTGGCCGTCATAAGGCTCAGAAATGAAAATCAATCATTCAGGAACATTGCACAAACCCTGGCCATGCCCAAGTCAACAGTTTTGTTCATCATTAACATGAAAAAAACAACCGGTGAACTCAATTATGTCAAAAGACCCGGTAGACAGAGGAAGACCACTGTAGTGGATGACCGGAGAATACTCTCTATGGTGAAGAAAACCCCCCTGATAACAGCCCAACAGATCAAAAACACTCTCCTGGATGCAGGTGTAGATGTGTCAAAGTCTACCATACGCAGAAGACTACACCAGCAGGACTACAGAGGGTACACTACAAGATGCAAACCACTGATAAGCCTGAAGAACAGAAAGGCAAGATTACAGTTTGCTAAAAAGCACCTAAAAGAGCCCCAAGAGTTCTGGAAAAAAGTATTGTGGACAGATGAGACAAAGATTAACATGTACCAGAGTGATGGAAAGACAAAAGTGTGGAGAAAAAAAAGAAATGCCCATGATCCAAAGCATACCACCTCATCCATGAAACATGGTGGAGGGGGTGTTATGGCTTGGGCCTGTATGGCTGCCAGTGGAACTGGCTCACTTGTCTTCATCGATGATGTGACTGCAGACAGAAGTAGAACAATGAATTCTGAAGTCTACAGAAATATTTTATCTGCTCAGATAAAACCAAATGCCTCCAAACTCATTGGACGGCACTTAATCATGCAACAAGACAATGACCCTAAACATACTGCTAGAGCAACAAAGGGGTTTTTGATGGCCAAAAAGTGGAAAATCCTTGACTGGCCGAGTCAATCACCAGATCTGAATCCAATTGAACATGCATTTTACATGCTGAAGAGGAGACTTAAGGCAATAAGTCCCAGAAACAAGCAGGAACTTAAGATGGCTGCAGTACAGGCCTGGCAGAGCATCACCAGGGAAGATACCCAGCGTCTGGTGATGGCGATGCATCGCAGACTTCAAGCAGTCATTGCATGCAAAGGATATGCGACCAAATATTAACAATGATTACTTTATTCTACATTATGTTAAACTGTCCAATGTTTTTTGATGCCCGAAAATGGGGGGGACCATGTACAAAAGCTTCTATAATTCGGAAACGGTTCATCCGATATGTATGAAAATACCCTCAAATTAAAGCTGACAGTCTGCACTTCACCCTCATTGTCATTGTATCCTTTCAAACTCAAAGTGCTAGAGTACAGAACCAAAATAACAAAAGAATGGTCACTGTCCAGTGAATTATGGAGTTCACTGTATATATATATATATATATATATATATATATATACACACACGCATGTCTAGTGTGTTTGGTGTGCATATTCCTACCTGCCAGGTCCTTCTCCTCCTCCTCCTCCTCCAGCTCCTCTTTTAGCTCCTGTAGTTTGCCCAGAGGGTGCAGAGCGGGCACCGTCACCCCAGGGATCTGGGGCAGGCAGCAGGGAGGGGTACGGGCAATGGGAGAGTTACGACAGTCCAGGAGGAACTTCCTGTCGTAGATGATGCGTGTTCCTGTCAGGGGGGGGGGGGGGGGGGGGCAGGGTTAGCTGACTTGCAGTTTTTATGACTGTTAACAGCCAGTGAAGGGAGTTGCACCATGTTGACCAAAGCAGTGTGGTAAAACCAGTGTAAATTGACTAGGGCTGACCCCATTTAGTCGACTGGTCGATTGTTTGGTCAATAGGCTGTTGGTCAACCGAGATGTCTTTAGTCGAGCAGTAGCCAAAAAAAACAAAACAAAAACTCATGGTGTACAAGACACCTGTCTGATTGGATCCTGTCTGAGTGGACTGATCCATTGTGGAGGCCGTGCGAATGGTACAGTCCATCACTAAGACGTGTGCTACTGAAAATGTATATGGTTATTTTACGTAAGAACAAAAGCTGCAACACAAATAAAAATAATATTTTACAACAAATGCGCTTTCTCCCGCGTTGGATAGCGGTCTCTGTCCGCGGTTCTTAAACTCATCAGTGTGCTGTTGATTTGGCACCTTTTTCTAGACCATGTTGCTATGTGCATAATAATAATAATAATAATAATAATAATATGCTATTTAGCAGACGCTTTTATCCAAAGCGACTTACAGTCATGTGCGCATACATTTTTACGTATGGGTGGTCCCGGGGATCGAACCCACTACCCTGGCGTTACAAGCGCCATGCTCTTCAAATTGAGCTACAGAGGACCACAATAGCAAAGTTAACCAGCATATTGGTGTTGAGAACAATGCTGTGGAGGCAGCAGCGGAGTTAGGAGATGAGAAAACAGCCCTTGCCTTAATTGTCTAAGAAAAATGAGGAAACCAACTTAATTAGGTCTATAATCAATAGCCTCTGTTAAATGTGCCTGGCTCTAAAAATCATCCATCTCTCATATATATATATATATATATATATATATAAAAAGCCATATCTCAGACTGCCCATCTTAATCTTTTCTTTTTATTGGCCAGTCTGAGATATGGCTTTTTCTTTGGAACTCTGCCTAGAAGGTCAGCATCCCGGAGTCGCCTCTTCACTGTTGACGTTGAGACTGGTGTTTTGCGGGTACTATTTAATTAAGCTGCCAGTTGAGAGGACCTGTGAGACATCTGTTTCTCAAACTAGACACTAATGTATTTGTCCTCTTGCTCAGTTGTGCACCGGGGCCTCCCACTCCTCTTTCTATTCTGGTTAGAGCCAGTTTGCGCTGTTCTGTGAAGGGAGTAGTACATAGCGTTGTACGAGATCTTCAGTTTCTTGGCAATTTCTCGCATGGAATAGCCTTCATTTCTCAGAACAAGAATAGACTGACGAGTTTCAGAAGAAAGTTCTTTGTTTCTGGCCATTTTGAGCCTGTAATCGAACCCACAATTACTGATGCTCCAGATACTCAACTAGTCTCAAGAAGGCCATTTTTACATTTACATTTTAGTCATTTAGCAGACGCTCTTATCCAGAGCGACTTACAGTTAGTGAGTGCATATATTTTTCATACTGGCCCCCCGTGGGAATCTTTTACTGCTTCTTTAATCAGCACAACAGTTTTCAGCTGTGCTAACATAATTGCAAAAGGGTTTTCTAATGATCAATTAGCCTTTTAAAATGATAAACTTGGATTAGCAAACACAACGTGCCATTGGAACACAGGACTGATGGTTGCTGATAATGGGTCTCTGTACGCCTATGTAGATATTCCATTAGAAATCAGCCATTTCCAGCTACAATAGCCATTTACAACATTAACAATGTCTACACTGTATTTCTGATGAATTTGATGTTATTTTAATGGACAAAAAAATTTTTTTCTTTCTAAAACAAGGACATTTCTAAGTGACCCCAAACTTTTGAACGGTAGTGTGTGTAATTATATATATATATATATAAATAAATAAATAACAGATCCTGCTTCTGTTGCCTGTTTGAGTTTGTTTAATAGCCTACAAGTCTGATAAACAATTTCACAAATTCGGCTGTTTTAATCTTTCCTATGCTGTAATAAAGGCTTTAAACTTTTTCTTCCATTAGAACAGCCTCTCCAGTAATATTTATTTAGTGTGGTTTACACTGTTCCAAATTGTCTAAAAAACTATATTTATAATAACCCTCCTTTTTCTTGATCTCATTATTGTTATTATGATCATCATTATAATAATAGTAATAATGTCATTATCATTAGTAGGCTTATATAGCAGCCACCATCGAGCTGTAAGCCTAAGCGTGCATCCTGTTTAGTCTTAATACGCAACTTACATAAGCCTATATTTCAATACTTATTATATAGGCTACAGTACTGTAGCCTATATAATACACAGCATTCGAGTCATTAATGATTTGAAATGCAATCAAGAATTTTAGTTTAAAATAAAATAAAGCGAACCTTGAATAATTTGCCTAAACAAAGAAATTGTTCCATTTCGTAAATTGCATTCACGATTGAATGAGACTTATTTTAATCTTTGCTGTAATAAAGGCTATACCAAAAAAGAAAAAAACTCTGGTACGCTTGTAATTTATTTAGTGTTGTTTAAATCTGTCTGTTTGAAACAATGTAAAGTGTTATCTAACAGCACCTGTTTGGCACAGATAACATGCACGCAGCACTTGCTCCTTACCTTATTATTCTTGAGCTACAGTATTTTCCACAACTAGTCAAATGTATTCCACACATCGGACTTCCCCTTTACCTCCTGAGCAACCAGTAAACATTCCCCCGTTTCAAGTTTATTTGTCACGTCCTCTGCATCCATTTTGCTGTCAAATGTGGTACGGTATTCGGAGTTTGTTATACCCAATTTATTGATGTGATGATATGCTATAGCTCAGGCCCTATTCCAAATCAAATCAAATCAAATTTTATTGGTCACATGCGCCGAATACAACAGGTGCAGACATTACAGTGAAATGCTTACTTACAGCCCTTAACCAACAGTGCATTTATTTTAAACAAAAAAGTAAGAATAAAACAACAACAAAAAAGTGTTGAGAAAAAAAGAGCAGAAGTAAAAAATAAAGTGACAGTAGGGAGGCTATATATACAATAGAATAAAGTGACAGTAGGGAGGCTATATATACAGGGGGGTACCGTTGCATAGTCAATGTGCGGGGGCACCGGCTAGTTGAGGTAGTTGAGGTAATATGTACATGTGGGTAGAGTTAAAGTGACTATGCATAAATACTTAACAGAGTAGCAGCAGCGTAAAAAGGATGGGGTGGGGGGGCAGTGCAAATAGTCCGGGTAGCCATGATTAGCTGTTCAGGAGTCTTATGGCTTGGGGGTAGAAGCTGTTGAGAAGTCTTTTGGACCTAGACTTGGCACTCCGGTACCGCTTGCCGTGCGGTAGCAGAGAGAACAGTCTATGACTAGGGTGACTGGAGTCTTTGACAATTTTGAGGGCCTTCCTCTGACACCGCCTGGTATAGAGGTCCTGGATGGCAGGGAGCTTTGCCCCAGTGATGTACTGGGCCGAACGCACTACCCTCTGTAGTGCCTTGCGGTCAGAGGCCAAGCAGTTGCCATACCAGGCGGTGATGCAACCAGTCAGGATGCTCTCGATGGTGCAGCTGTAGAATTTTTTGAGGATCTGAGGACCCATGCCAAATCTTTTTAGTCTCCTGAGGGGGAATAGGCTTTGTCGTGCCCTCTTCACGACTGTCTTGGTGTGTTTGGACCATGATAGTTCGTTGGTGATGTGGACACCAAGGAACTTGAAGCTCTCAACCTGTTCCACTACAGCCCCGTCGATGAGAATGGGGGCGTGCTCAGTCCTCTTTTTTTTCCTGTAGTCCACAATCATCTCCTTTGTCTTGGTCACGTTGAGGGAGAGGTTGTTGTCCTGGCACCACACGGCCAGATCTCTGACCTCCTCCCTATAGGCTGTCTCATCGTTGTCGGTGATCAGGCCTACCACTGTTGTGTCGTCGGCAAACTTAATGATGGTGTTGGAGTCGTGCCTGGCCATGCAGTCATGGGTGAACAGAGAGTACAGGAGGGGACTGAGCACGCACCCCTGAGGGGCCCCCGTGTTGAGGATCAGTGTGGCACAATCAGTATTGGTCACGTGCATGCGATGTATACATGAGTCACATAAAGAGAGCAAGGGTTGAGGGAATGTTTTTCCTAAACAAATGAGGGATTTCGGTAACAGAACTTTTCAGTCAGAAATGGCTGTAATTGTTGCAGCTTCAGCAACACGGACAGCGCGATAAACGCTGTTGATGTTCTGTGGTGGTCGCTGCAGCAGGGAGGAGAGACAGACAACGGGTGCTAGTCACACAGCCACTCGCTGTCTTTTTTTTTTTTTAACACAGCAAGTCTGAGCCTGGCACAATCAAATCAATTGCGATCAGACTCCCTCTAGTAATTTTTGTTTCTTAATTATTTCATCAAACAGTGCCCTTAAAGCATCAGACAAGCTCAGTGCATATAGTTGATTTGATTAAGACACATAGGATGTGTCTATACACATTTAACAATTTTGACTAATCGATTGGTCTTAAGAACAGACTACACTCGGTTGACCAATATTTTTATTTTAGTCATTGACTCATGTACCATAAAATCTGTTGGAGAGATTAGTTGTAAACGCAAACACATTATTCAGTGTACAAAAATTGATGATAGTTCCTGATTTATCCAGTCTGGTCCTTGAAGACTGGCCATGAATCTTTTGATGTCAAAACTGCACAAATACAAGAGAGTAGTAACTCCCTGACAGGGCAGAGGGAGGGATGTATCTGGAAGAAACTGGGAGTCCACCCCTCCTTGGCCTCCGGTTCAGGATGCATACCAAACACACACACCCTGTTTTCAGCCCAAGGAGAAGAGAGGGAGGAGGAGAGGAGGGTGGGGAAGAGGGGTCATCAGTTGGGCATAGTGAGTTAGGGATGAGAGGAAGACAGGAGGATACAGAGGAAAAAGGAGAGGTCGTGGGTTAGCAGTAGTGAGTGACTTCTAGGAAAGTGGAGAACATCAACAAGTTCCAGGAAGAGGTGACAGGTGGCAGACCAGAACCATATGTGGTCACCACCAAACTCACAGAACTCTGTGTAGCCTGCACCACGTAGCACACTTCAGGAGCTCTGTGTAGCCTGCACCAGGAGCTCGGTGTAGCCTGCACCAGGAGCTCTGTGTAGCCTGCACCACGTAGCACACTTCAGGAGCTCTGTGTAGCCTGCACCAGGAGCTCTGTGTAGCCTGCACCAGGAGCTCTGTGTAGCCTGCACCAGGAGCTCTGTGTAGCACGCTACAGATCTGTACTGTAGTCACCAGCAGAGTTTCCCCCTACATTCTGTTTGCTTAGGTGGGCTGCCAAGGCCTCCTGTGGTGATAACCTCCCATCAACCAGGCAGCCTCAGGAATGGGGTATGTTGAGTCAAACACCTTGGTTGTTGTGGAACCAAATGTCATCTCCTCCTCACAAGACCTAGACCATTAGGCATACAGTATGTAAAGGGAAACTTACATTTACATTTTAGTCATTTAGCAGACGCTCTTATCCAGAGCGACTTACAGTTAGTGAGTGCATTCATTTTTTGGGGGGGGACTTGCTACTCCATAAAAAGTATGTCTGCATGTTTCACTTTGCATGTCTACAGTGGAGACTGGTTGGTAAACAACAGGGCTCTGACAGGTTGCTGACAGACTGAAGTCTTCCCTGAATTGCAACGGAACATTCATAAAACTTTTAGATATTATATCATACTGAATATGAATATCATGCTGAATATGAATATCATGCTGATGAACTGAAGTTTGACCTGAACCACTGTGTACCAATCATAGATAAAAACTCATTAGCAGGCTGCCTGACAGAACATTTCATAAACAGTTGTTAGATGTGAATCATCCAATGTTGTGGTGTCTACTAATGAAGTTTGCCCTGGACAGGGTTACATGGAGAGGACAGGGATTGGTGCCATGCAGTATTTAGTATTAGCAGTGGTGTAAAGTACTTAAGTAAAAATACTTCAAAGTACTACTTAAGTAGTATCTATACTTTACTTTTTATATTTTTGACTACTTTTACTTCTACATTCCTAAAGAAAATAATGTACTTTTTACTCCATACATTTCCCCTTACACCCAAAAGTACTCATTACATTTTGAATGCTTAGCAGGACAGGAAAATTGTCCAATTCACACACTTATCAAGAGAATGTCCCTGGCCATCTCCACTGCCCCGGATCTGGCAGGCTCACTAAACACGAATGCTTCATTTCTAAATTATGTCTGAGTGTTGGAGTGTGCCCCTGGCTATCCGTAAAAAATAAAATAAAACTGCTTTTCTTAATATAAGGAACTTGAAATTATTTATACTTTTACTTCTGATACTTAAGTATATTTTAGCAATTACATTTACTTTTGATACTTAAGTACGTTTAAAACAGACTTTTAGACTTTTACTCAAGTAGTATTTTACTGGGTGACTTTCACTTTTACTCAAGTCATTTTCTATTAAGGTATCTTTACTTTTACTCAAGTATGACAATTGGGTACTTTTTCCACCACTGAGTATTAGTACAGCATGCTGGAGTTACAACTGATGCAGTGCAGAACAGTTCTATTTCCACACACACACTATGCCTGTTGAGCACCCTGTCCTGAACACAAGGGGAGTGGAGGGGAGGGAGTGTGTGTGTGTACATTGGGGCAGGAATTCAGGCAGAAGCTATGCAGAGACAGCAGGCCAGCCAGCAGCTAAACTATAGTGCCCTGGCCCTGAGTTATGCAGAAGAGGCCCAGCCAAGCCCAGCTCTGTGGCCAATCTCTTTGTTCACATGAAACCTACCCCATCCCATGTAATGCTACTCACTCTGTCTGTGGCAATGGGACATCACCCTGTGCATGCTTGTTGTGCTCACATGAGCAGTTAGTTGCATAAAATGAACTTCTAGTTATAGAGGCATCATGTGAAACTGCTCTAGGCCATCTGTTGTAAGGCATCAATGAAGAATCACAAATAAGCACGAATGACAGTAGCAGAGCTGTTCCTACTGCTCCTTAAAGCTCATAACTAAGTTGTTCTGGTCTGGCCATGCCTTCCACAACGCAACATGGACATGAAGGATCTATAGCTGACCTGAAACCACAGCTTTCTGCTCTCCTCAGCCAAACATTCCACCACTCCCTCCCTCGTGCCCTCCCACGTCCTCACTTTTACATTTAAGTCATTTAGCAGAAGCTCTTATCCAGAGCGACTTACAGTTAGCGAGTGCATACATTTTCATACTGGCCCCCCGTGGGAAACGAACCCACAACCCTGGCGTTGCAAGCGCCATGCTCTACCAACTGAGCTACAGGGGACTTCAACCATTCTTAGAAAGGAAGGCCTCTCGTTGCACTTCACAATCCCTCCCCATTCCCCCCCCCCCCCTCCCTCCCTCCCTCTCTTTCCAATCCCCCCCCCTCTCTATCTCCCATTCAATTCTATTTAAGGGGCTTTATTGGTATGGGAAACATATGTTAACATTGCCAAAGCGAGTGAAATAGATTATAAACTAAAGTGAAATAAACAATAAAAAATAAACAGTAAACATTACTCACAAAAGTTCCAAAGGAATATAAACATTTCAAATGTCATTATGTCTGTATCCACACAGTGTAACGATGTGCAAATAGGCTATGCTCACTGAGTCTGTACATAGTCAAAGCTGTCCTTAAGTTTGGGTCAGTCACAGTGGTCAGGTATTCTACCACTGTGTACTCTCTGTTTAGGCCCAAATAGCATTCTAGTTTGCTCTGTTTGTTTGTTAGTTCTTTCCAATGTGTCAAGTAATTCTCTTTTTGTTTTCTCATGATTTGGTTAGGTTTAATTGTGTTGCTGTCCTGGGGCTCTGATCGTGTACAGAGCCCCAGGAACAGCTTCCTTAGAGGACTCTTCTCCAGGTTCATCTCTCTGTAGGTGATGGCTTTGTTATGGAAAGTTTTATGAATTGCTTCCTTTTAGGTGTTTGTAGAATTTACCGGCTCATTCCTGGATTTTTTTCAGCCCTCCCTCTCACTCTCCACTTGGCTGGAACAGAATGTTCCTACAGTATTCCTGAAATGCACCAGGGAAGCTGTGGTGGTCTGCAGAGGGGATGTCTCCCTCTCTCCACCCCAATCACCGCCCTAAATCTGGCCCCGCCCACCAATAGGTCATAGGTTAAGAGGAGCTTGTTGTTCACCAATATGCTTTTTCCACCAGTATTTTTCCTCTCCAGAATGTTGTGCCAATTTTGACAACCATAACTCCCATTACTATGGCTACTTCACTTACATAATGTGCCATGGTTTTCATATCACGAGATCTGATGTATAGCAGATCCCAACTGACACTACATTTCGCCCAGTGAAAGTTCATTGGGAATCGGTTCCCAACATAACACTTTACATGAGTGTTGTTGTGAACGTGAATTGCAGCAGCCAGTTCACTGGTCAGCGAGTCTACACAGGTCTGAAGTTTGTGTGTGGTAAACAGACAGTACCGAATCCCACCACCAGACTGCTCTGCACTGACTGCACGTAAGCAGCCATGCGGTTAAACCAGTGGGGTTGAACAAGTGAACCTTATTTTTTCCCACATCACCTGAAAAATTCCTTTTTTATTTTCGTCTGTCAATAAGAATATAGCCGTAACAATAATCGAAGAGTGAGGTCCGTTTTAAAAAGATTGGACGCAATATGTATATATATATTTTTTTAATGATGCATTGAATTAAGTTGTATTTGAATTTAAAATTTCATATAGCATATCATACGCAATTTCCAACAAACACAGTACGTTGCAAGTTAAACAGACAGAAAAACAGTATGATGCAAGTCAAGCAGACAGATACTGTGGCACTCATCTGCGCATGTTTTATATACGACCAAATAAACTGGTGTCACGAGACAGTGAGGGTTAAGTAAAGTTGATTGCAAGATTTGGGGCAGTAAATGTACGTTTCAAAACATCTATAATTAACGTGAACGTGTTATTTCTATTATTATTATTTCCTTGTACAACATTCGACAAGTTTAGTTCCCCTTTCCCCACAATATAAACGTTAGTTTTCGAGCAGTAAAAAAACAAATGAGCTGGCTAACGTTAGCTAAACTACCCCTGGTACAAACGTGTTGTGCGTGGTGCATGGTTGAACCGGCCGGGTGCTCTTACCTCCGGGCGTTGTGGAGAAGAGAGTACCCCCGGGAGTCTGACTGTAGCATTCGGGGAGCTGAGACCAGTCTTTCAGGGTGAGAACCCGGGTAGGGATGGGGCAACTCTTCGCCTGCTGAGCGTTGGTAGTCATCCTGGGTTTGTTTGGGTTATTCTGATCAACCGCAAACAGACGTTTTGTGTGAAGCTCGGCTGATCTTGCAAATTCGATTGTTTACCAAACAACAAGAAAATCAACAAGTAATTTGCTAACAAGATCCACAACAACAAAAACTTAACTACAACTAGCTACTGTAGCTAACAAAATAAAACAGACTGCAGAGCTGTTCAGGGCGGACGGTTTTGTTGCCAGATAAGTAAAGGTGTCAGCAACTAGAGAGAACGAACTGGGCTGTTGAATATGTTCGCGTGCATTTAATAACTATTAGGATGACTCTGGTCATGTGACGTGTTGTGATTGCTACAGCCATAGATTGCATATATAAAGACAACAGCCGAACTTGATCTCCACGAAGAAGGGCGACTGGTTGGTCAATCAAATGTTAGCTCCGCCTGTGAAGGGTGGAGTATAGGGTGGGGCTGTCCAAAACGGAGTAATATGATCATTTTGATCCAGAAGTAATCCAGTGGATCTAATCTGAAGCGATGGTGTAGAACAGAAAGTAACAAGTCCCAACTTGTTTTACTTGACAACAATGGCAAAGGAAATACATTATTCAGCAGAAACGACACCAGAACATCCATCCAAAAGAGAATAAACTGATTTACATCAACTCACCACATTCTGATAATGTACCTACCTGAATATGACTGTAAACCCAGCCAATGAAGTTATGACATCACTAAACGGATTTGTCTGTGTATTGATACCACTCTGAAGAACATATTCCCATGTACACGTGATCTGTAGCTCAATAGGTAGAGCATGGCGCTTGTAACGCCAGGGTAGTGGGTTCGATCACCGGGACCACCCATACGTAAAAATGTATGCACACATGACTGTAAGTCGCTTTGGATAAAAGCGTCTGCTAAATGGCATATTATTATCTGATTAACACTGTGTAGACAGGTTGGATATAGTGTACATTCATGGCTGCGCAATAAACGTATCACCCGCGTGAGATAAATATATTTAATTGATGTACAGTATTGATTGTTTTATAATACATGTCATGGAAACAGGACGTGTGCTACTTGCATGACATAGGTCTTCATAACTCACGGCACGCGGACAAAACTGAACTGAGCACACACTCACGGTTCCCGAAACGGTTAACTAACATGTGCACTTGCACGCACACACACAGACAGAGGAGTCGGGGGAGGTGCATCTACGACAGACTAAAGTCGGACACTGTGGTTTTCCGACACCACGGCTCAGATCAACATGGCATTGTTGCCATTGTTTATTAAAAATCTGCATTGACCCTTCGCACTGACTATGTACACACCCACATCATATACGCTGCTGCTACTCTATCATATATCCTGATGCCTAGTCACCTTACCCCATACATATCTAACCCACCACTCCAGTTCACTGCACATTGTAAATATGGTATTGGCACTGACCCTGCATATACAGTTGAAGTCGGAAGTTTACTTACACTTAGGTTGGAATCATTAAAACTCGTTTTTCAAGCACCACACATTTCTTGTTAACAAACTTATAGTTTTGGCAAGTCAGTTAGGACATCTACTTTGTGCATGAAACAAGTAATTTTTCCAACAATTGTTTACAGACAGATTATTTCATTTATAATTTACTGTATCACAATTCTAGTGGGTCAGAAGTTTACATACACTAAGTTGGCTGTGCCTTTAAACAGCTTGGAAAATTCCAGAAAATTATGTCATGGCTTTAGAAGCTTCTGATAGGCTAATTGACATCATTTGAGTCAATTGGAGGTGTACCTGTGGATGTATTTCAAGGCCTACCTTCAAACTCAGTGCCTCTTTGCTTGACATCATGGGAAAATCAAAAGAAATCAGCCAAGACCTCAGAAAAAAAATTGTAGACCTCCACAAGTCTGGTTCATCCTTGGGAGCAATTTCCAAACACATGAAGGTACCATGTTCATCTGTACAAACAATAGTACGCAAGTATAAACACCATGGGACCACGTAGCCGTCATACCGCTCAGGAAGGAGACGCGTTCTGTCTCCTAGAGATGAACGTACTTTGGTGCGAGAAGTGCAAATCAATCCCAGTACAACAGCAAAGGACCTTGTGAAGATGGGGGAAACAGGTACAAAAGTATCTATATCCACAGTAAAACGAGTCCTATATCGACATAACCTGAAAGGCCGCTCAGCAAGGAAGAAGCCACTGCTCCAAAACCGCCATAAAAAAGCCAGACTACAGTTTGCAACTGCACATGGGGACAAATATCGTACTTTCTGGAGAAATGTCCTCTGGTCTGATGAAAAAAAAATAGAACTGTTTGGCCATAATGATCATCGTTATGTTTGGAGGAAAAAGGGGGATGCTTGCAAGCCGAAGAACACCATCCCAACCGTGAAGCACGGGGGTGGCAGCATCATGCTGTGGGGGTGCTTTGCTGCAGGAGGAACTAGTGCACTTCACAAAATAGATGGCATCATGAGGAAGGAAAATTTTGTGGATATATTGAAGCAACATCTCAAAACATCAGTCAGGAAGTTAAAGCTTGTTCGCAAATTGGTCTTCCAAATGGACAATGACCCCAAGCATACTTCCAAAGTTGTGGCAAAATGGCTTAAGGACAACAAAGTCAAGGTATTGGAGTGGCCATCACAAAGCCCTGACCTCAATCCTATAGAACATTTGTGGGCAGAACTGAAAAAGCGTGTACGAGCAAGGAGGCCTACAAACCTGACTCAGTTACACCAGCTCTGTCAGGAGGAATGGGCCAAAATTCACCCTACTTATTGTGGGAAGCTTGTGGAAGGCTACCTGAAACGTTTGACCCAAGTTAAACAATTTAAAGGCAATGCTACCAAATACTAATTGAGTGTATATAAACTTCTGACCCACTGGGAATGTGATGAAATAAATAAAAGCTGAAGCAAATCATTCTCTCTACTATTATTCTGACATTTCACATTCTTAAAATAAAGTAGTGATCCTAACTGACCTAAGACAGGTAGTTTTTACTAGGATTAAATGTCAGGAATTGTGAAAAACTGAGTTTAAATGTATTTGGCTAAGGTGTATGTAAACTTCCGACTTCAACTGTAGCTTAATGACTTTCTCATGTTGTTATGTATGTGTTTTTGTTCATCTTGGCTTTATTTTTCATTTTTTTATAAAGAAATTGACCTTCAATCACATGATTTTTGTAAAGTTCATGCAGTCGACATGTCGGACAATTTTGTCTGACAATGTTTTACCCCATAATGCAACACACTTCTCAACAAGCTGCTTCAACCATAAACTAAAAGTACAGCTAACATGCTTGTAAAATTAAAGTGTTCAAAAACCATATTAATAGATTGCTTTTTATAAATGTTTTATTGCATTAAACTGCCAGAAATGCTGTTACCAAGGTCATTTCCTTAGTAGGTGAGTTTTTATTGAAATGCCTTTCTTGCAAGCTCTTTCCCAACAACGCAATAATCAATATCAGGAGTAAAAATATACTATAAAGTAAAGTAGAACAAAAACAAATGAGAAATAGAAATAAGAACACAAGGAAGTAAGTACTACTACTACTGTATATACAAGGTCCGTGCCAATACCTTATTTACAATATACAGGGATACTGGCATGGTAGGGGTAGATATATATAGGGGTAAGGTGACTAGGCATCAAGATATATGATAAACAGAGTAGCAGCAGTGTATATGATGATTGTACGTGTGTGTAGTCAGTATGAATGCATGTTCGTGTTGTGTGTGTGTGGGCAAATGTGTTTGTGTCTCTTTTGGAGTGTCAATGTGAGTGTGTAGAGTCCCGTGAGTGTGTAGAGTCCTGTGAGTGTGTAGAGTTCCGTGAGTGTGTAGAGTCCCGTGAGTGTGTAGAGTCCCGTGAGTGTGTAGAGTCCCGTGAGTGTGTAGAGTCCCGTGAGTGTGTAGAGTCCTGTGAGTGTGTAGAGTCCTGTGAGTGTGTAGAGTCCCGTGAGTGTGTAGAGTACCGTGAGTGTGTAGAGTCCCGTGAGTGTGTAGAGTCCCGTGAGTGTGTAGAGTCCTGTGAGTGTGTAGTCCCGTGAGTGTGTAGAGTCCTGTGAGTGTGTAGAGTCCTGTGAGTGTGTAGAGTCCCGTGAGTGTGTAGAGTCATGTGAGTGTGTAGAGTCCCGTGAGTGTGTAGAGTCCCGTGAGTGTGTAGAGTCCTGTGAGTGTGTAGTCCCGTGAGTGTGTAGAGTCCTGTGAGTGTGTAGAGTCCTGTGAGTGTGTAGAGTCCCGTGAGTGTGTAGAGTCATGTGAGTGTGTAGAGTCCCGTGAGTGTGTAGAGTCCTGTGAGTTGTAGTCATGTGAGTGTGTAGAGTCCCGTGAGTGTGTAGAGTCATGTGAGTGTGTAGAGTCCCGTGAGTGTGTAGAGTCCTGTGAGTGTGCATAAAGTCAGTCCAAATATAAAGTAGGGAGGGTCAATGCAGATAGTCTGTGTAGCCATTTTGTTACAGTGCATTTGGAAAGTATTCAGACCCCTTGACTTTTTCCCACTTTGTTACATTATCGCCTTATTCTAAAATTGATTAAATTATTTTTCCCCCCTCATTCACCTACACACAATACCCCATAATGACAAAGCAAAAACAGGTTTTTAGAAATGTTTGCAAATGTATTAAAAATAAAACACAGAAATATCTTATTTACATAAGTATTCAGACCCTTTGTTATGAGACTCGAAATTGAGCTCAGGGGCATCCTGTTTCCATTGATCATCCTTGAGATGTTTCTACAACTTGATTGAGTCCACCTGTGGTAAATTCAATTGATTGGACATGATTTGGAAAGGCACACACCTGCCTATATAAGGTCTTACAGTTGACAGTGCATGTAAGAGCAAGAACCAAGCCATGAGGTCGAAGGAATTGTCCGTAGAGCTCCGAGACAGGATTGTGTCGAGGCACAGATCTGGGGAAGGGTACCAAAAAATGTCTGCAGCATTGAAGGTCCCCAAGAACATAGTGGCCTTCATTATTCTTAAATGGAAGAAGTTTGGAACCACCAAGACTCTTCCTAGAGCCGGACGCCCGGCCAAACTGAGCAATCGGGGGAGAAGGGCCTTGGTCAGGGAGGTGACCAAGAACCCGATGGTCACTCTGACAGAGCTCCAGAGTTCCTCTGTGGAGATGGGAGAACCTTCCAGAAGGACAACCATCTCTGCAGCACTCCACCAATCAGGCCTTTATGGTAGATTGGCAAAGTTTGCCAAAATGGACCTAAAAGGACTCTGACCATGAGAAACAAGATTCTCTGGTCTGATGAAACCAAGCTTGAACACTTCGGCCTGAATGCCAAGCGTCATGTCTGGAGGAAACCAGGCACCATCCCTATGGTGAAGCATGGTGGTGGCAGTATCATGCTGTGGGGATGTTTTTCAGCAGCAGGGACTGGGATACTATTTCAGTAGAAAAATAAAGGTTTTTGCTTTGTCATTATTGGGTATTGTGTGTAGATTGATGAGGGGAAAACATTAGCTATTTAGCAGTCTTATGGCTTGGGGATAGAAGCTGTTCAGGAGCCTGTTGGTGTCAAGACTTGTTGCTCTGATATCGCTTGCCGTGCGGAAGCAGAGAGAACAGTCTATGGCTTGGGTGGCTGGAATCTAACAATTTTCCGAGCCTTCCTTTCCGGGCCTGATATAGAGGTCCTGGATGTTAGAGAGCTCGGCCCAAGTGATGTACTGGGCTGTCCGCACCACCCTCTGTAGCGCCATGCGATCGAGGGCGGTGCAGTTGCCATACCAAGCAGTGATGCAGCCAGTCAAGATGCTTTCAAATGGTACATTTGAGGGCCCATGCCAAATCTTTTCAACCTCCTGAGGGGGAAGAGGCGCTGTCATGCCTTCTTCACGACTGTGTGCGTGGACCATTTTAAGTCCTTAGTGATTTGGACACCGATGTGAGAGAAGTCGGAGCTCAGGGATGATAGACGTTTCCCACTAGTAATCACCAGTTGGAGGGGCGTTCAAGTGGATTTTTCCCAGTTCTATGTGGTAAATACCACCTTCCCACTTGGTTATGTACGCAGCATTAGCTGTCAATGTTAGTTTTTATTAAATGTATCGCGTCGGAGCCACGAGTTGAGTGTACAGATTATATTTTCTAAGATGATAATATATAAGAAATACATTGTGCTGTCACTATCAAACATGCTATTCATTTCAGGGAAATTAAAACACAAAGCCATACCTACACATATACAAAAAAGTGCACTGCCACAAGTACATTTCAATATCTTTATTGAATATTAAGGTAAATATTTCACATTAATACAGGCTACATAAAGTAGAGCCACTATACGACATGAAATGTACTCTCATTTTAACCCTTTTAGTATGTAAACAATTATACATGTATTTACCACTAAAAGGTATTGTGATTTCTTTCTCTCCCCCTGCCTCTCTTTAGGTAATCATCATCCTCTAGTTCTTGGCTGAGTATCATTAGCTACGTCATCATCACCATCATCTTTATCAGGTCAAGCTCTCCCCGAGGAGAGCGAGAACTCTGTACGTGGGTGGAAGTCCTTATTTCTAAGCTACACAGAGCATGGAGCCAGTTGGACAGGCTGTCACCATCAGTTTGGTTGTTCATCAGACATCAACAGGACTTTAAACAGAACTAGGGCCCAGAGTTTTCCCTCCCTCCTGACTCCACCATCATCATAACAGCCCTCACTCAAATGTTAGTATATCTTTATTTCTTATTAAAGAACGGTGTCAAGATAATTTCTCTCCAATTCTTGAAACTCTGCTTTGCTCTCTGTTCTCTACTAAAGTTAACATGTTTTACAATTGTTGGTTTTTGTCTCGTCAGGTTCTTGTTGTCAGTTGGAAATTATATTCATGTTTGTGATGTGTGTGTGCGCGTTTGCTGTCGATGCCGGCTGGCTAGTTGACGTGGTTCAGGTGAACGTGAGGAGCCCAGGTACCAGGCCACACCTGAATGAGGAGGAGGAGGAGGAGGAGAAGAGGAACAGGTGAGAGAGAGGAGGAGGAGATTCCATTAGCAAAAAGAACTGTGTGTGTGTGTGTGTGTGTGTGTGGATAAAGTCTCACCTGCTGTGGGTCGGTGTTGTCTGAGCTGTTGGGAACCACCTTGATGATGGGGCTCCATGCAGGGTCAGCAGCGTGCAGCCCGTTGAATATGCCCCCCCCCGGACTCTCTCCCATAGGGGGGTGGGGGGGCAGTATGGTCCCTCCATACATCGACATGGCCATACCCTGGAGACAACAAGGTCATTATACACATCACAACAACAAGGTCTATTGACATGGCCCTACCCTGGAGACAACAAGGTCCACTAACTACAGTATATTGACATGGCCCTACCCTGGAACAACAAGGTCCACTAACTACAGTATATTGACATGGCCCTACCCTGGAAACAACAAGGTCCACTAACTACAGTATATTGACATGGCCCTACCCTGGAAACAACAAGGTCCACTAACTACAGTATATTGACATGGCCCTCCCTGGAGCAACAAGGTCCACTAACTACAGTTATTGACATGGCCCTACCCTGGAGACAACAAGGTCACTATACAGTATATTGACATGGCCTACCCTGGAGACAACAAGGTCCACTAAACTCAGTATATGACATGGCCCTACCCTGGAGACAACAAGGTCCACTAACTACAGTATATTGACATGGCCCTACCCTGGAGACAACAAGGTCCACTAACTACAGTATATTGACATGGTCGGCCCATACCCTGGAAACAACAAGGTCCACTAACTACAGTATATTGACATGGCCCTACCCTGGAGACAACAAGGTCCACTAACTACAGTATATTGACATGGCCCTACCCTGGAGACACGGACAAGAGGAACGGCCATTTGCAAAGGTGTGTGTGTTACCTTGGGGAAGTCCATGTAGTTGTTGGGGTGGTTGATGTGTTGCTGGTGGTAGTTGTTAGCGGGGTTAGAGATGCCGGTGTCATCCTGCTCCATGGGCTGGTACTGGGAGAAGTTGTGGTCCGCCTGCAGCCCAGGGTGCATCATGTGACTGCCCATCAGGGGCTGGGACCAACCTGACATGGCTTCTAGAGGAGAGGGAGACAGGAGGTAAGAGAGACACAGAGAGACACTGTGTGTGTGTGTGTGTGTGTGTGTGTGTGTGGGGGGCGGTGGGGTGTGTGTATGCCCATCAGCCGTATATCAGGGCTGTAGACATTGGGGATGGAGAGACCAGCGTGGGTTAGAGGTTGTGTGTGAACACATTGATCTGGTGTGTGGCCGTCTGGTATGTTTGTGTGTCCATCTGGTATGTGTGACTACTCACCCGAGGCGCTGCCGACTCCGAAGGACCATATGCCTCCCTGTCCTACAGGAGCGGTGTAGGAGGTCTGGAGGAGAGGAGGGTTGACGGTGGTCTGTCTGATCCTAGCCAGCCTCTCTGTCCCGATGGGAGGAGGCACCTTCCTGTCCTGCTGAATGCTGCCCTGGCCCTGCTTGGCCTGGTGGGGAGGGGGGCCCGGGGGGCCAGACGACAACACCTTGGAGGGAGGGGGCACTGCCTGGGACTCGCCTGGGGAGAGGAGGGGTTAAAGGTTAGGGGTTTTGAGTCTAAAAGACAGTTAGGCAAAACTCTTAAATTGTATTAGTTAAATCAATTATTTTCTGTGTGCTGAATTCCTGGAAAATAAGCTTCATGGGCATTTTAGATTTATTTTCACACATCTGTGTCAGTACCTGATGTGGCAGCGCTCCAGGGGTGAGGGGAGAAGTGCTGTCTGCTGAATGAGGGGGTGCCCACAGCTGCTGGGCCGTGTAGATAGACTGGACTACCAGACATACTGGTAGCATAGCTGGTCAGAGCTACATACAGAGAGAGGAGAGAGAGTTAGAGGCCTATAGACTGCAGGTACACTGGACTACCAGACATACTGGTAGCATAGCTGGTCAGACTCAGAGCTGTAAGACAGGGAGAGAGAGTTGGGGCATATACTGTAAGGTCAAACAAAGTCAAATATATATATTTTCTAATCTACATGGCCCTTTCTTTTACCAATAGGACTGTTGACCATCCTCTGTGAGGCAGAGCGGTATCCAGGGGCCTTGGAGCTGTCTGGAGGAGGGGCCATCATGCCATCCATCTGGCCCATGCCCATGTAGGAGGGGGGGGCAGAATACTGCTGCTCAGGGGGGGAGCGGGCAGGGAGGTGGCACGCACCCCACACCTGGTTGTTACCAACCTAATAGAGAGAAAAAAAATATCAGGTGTGACCCGAAATGAGTAGGCACTGAAGTTTAGGTCACAACCTTCAAACATGTTGTTACTCTATGGCAGCGCTCTCCAACCCTGTTCCTGGACAGCGACCCTCCTGTAGGTTAACTCCAACCCCCTTCCTGGACAGCGACCCTCCTGTAGGTTTTAACTCCAACCCCTTCCTGGACAGCTACCCTCCTGTAGGTTTTCACTCCAACCCCCTTCCTGGACAGCGACCCTCCTGTAGGTTATAACCCCAACCCTGTTCCTGGACAGCTACCCTCCTGTAGGTTTTCACTCCAACCCCCTTCCTGGACAGCGACCCTCCTGTAGGTTTTAACTCCAACCCTGTTCCTGGACAGCTACCCTCCTGTAGGTTTTAACTCCAACCCCCTTCCTGGACAGCGACCCTCCTGTAGGTTTTTAACTCCAACCCCCTTCCTGGACAGCTACCCTCCTGTAGGTTTTAACTCCAACCCCTTCCTGGACAGCGACCCTCCTGTAGGTTTTTAACTCCAACCCCCTTCCTGGACAGCTACCCTCCTGTAGGTTTTAACTCCAACCCCTTCCTGGACAGCTACCCTCCTGTAGGTTTTCGATCTAACCCCAGCTGTAACTAACCTGATTCAGTTTACCAAACAGCTAATTATTAGAATCAAGTGTGCTAGATTAGGGTTGGAGTTAAAACCTACTGTACGGTAGCTCTCCAGGAACAGGGTTGGAGTATAAACCTACTGTACGGTAGCTCTCCAGGAACAGGGTTGGAGTATAAACCTACTGTACGGTAGCTCTCCAGGAACAGGGTTGGAGTATAAACCTACTGTACGGTAGCTCTCCAGGAACAGGGTTGGAGTATAAACCTACTGTACGGTAGCTCTCCAGGAACAGGGTTGGAGTATAAACCTACTGTACGGTAGCTCTCCAGGAACAGGGTTGGAGTATAAACCTCCTGTACGGTAGCTCTCCAGGAACAGGGTTGGAGTATAAACCTACAGGACGGTAGCTCTCCAGGAACAGGGTTGGAGTATAAACCTACTGTACGGTAGCTCTCCAGGAACAGGGTTGGAGTATAAACCTACTGTACGGTAGCTCTCCAGGAACAGGGTTGGAGTATAAACCTACTGTACGGTAGCTCTCCAGGAACAGGGTTGGAGTATAAACCTACAGGACGGTAGCTCTCCAGGAACAGGGTTGGAGTATAAACCTACTGTACGGTAGCTCTCCAGGAACAGGGTTGGAGTATAAACCTACTGTACGGTAGCTCTCCAGGAACAGGGTTGGAGAGCCCTGCACTATTGTAACAAAATGTTTTTCTGTTGAGAATAAAACTAGAAATAGTAGAAATGAATGTGTGGTGGCACCCACCTGGTTGTTGTTGTCGAACATGCTGCTGAAATGGTTGAAGAGGGCTGCAGGGCCGAAGTTAGGGGGCATCTGCTGGGGCTTGGCCCCACCATGGACCTGCTGCTGCTGCATCTGAGAGCCGTTCATCAGACCCATGGAGGACTGGGGGTGGTGAGGAGACTGGAGCTGAGGGGGCATGGGGGGCTGGGACTGCTTCGGTTTGGGGTGCTCATGTTGTTGTTGCTGTGTGTTATGGGGTAGGAACGGTTGTTGTTGCTGTGTGTTATGGGGTAGGAACGGTTGTTGTTGCTGGTCGGGGTGTTGGTAGTAGGGCCCTGTCGGGGGCTGCATGCGGTGAGAGACGCGGGGAGCGGGAGCCGAGAAGTGGGGTACGGTGCTGTTGGGGTGTGTGTGTGAGGGGGTGGTGGAGGTTGGGGGGAGGTGGGAGCTTGACTGAGGAGGGAGGAGAGGTGGAGTGGGGTCTGAGGTGGTGGTTAGGGGAGGAGGTGGTTGGTGCTGCTGGCGGGGCTCAGGTTTGGAGGGGGCAGCCATGGCAGAGGCGGTGAAACCACCTGAACTAACCCCATTGTTGACTGAGACGGGCTGGGCCTCCTGAGAGAGGGAGGGGGTCAGCTTCACCTTGCCTGGGGGAGCAGTGGGGGCGCTGGGGGGTGACTTGGGGGGCTGAGAGATGGGGGCGACCTGGGGTTGAGGAGGAGGGTTAGGGGCGTTTGTGGCCGTTAAGCCCGTGTGTTGGTGGGCGGGAGACCCTGTACCTCTCACTGAGTGACTACTACTACTACTGACAGTGTTGGCAGTAACCATGGAGACAGAGTTGACCCCTGTGTGCTTGTGGTCAGAGGAGAACAGCTGTTTCCTGACTGAGGAGGGGGTGGGGGTGCTGGGCTGGGCCCCAGGAGTGGGGTTAGGGGTGTGGGGTGACCCTGTAGTCGTAGCAGCGTGACTGTTTGAGGCACTAGGACTGGAGACAGAGGACCCTGTGGATGATGTGTTGTGATCATTATGACTAGATAAGTTGGATCTGGCCTGGTTGTTACTACTACCACCGTTGTGTTTGGGGGAGCTGTTGGCGCTACCGGGACTCAGCGGCCGCACCGGGAACGGGCCCCAGGTGCTGGCGGCAGGGGAGAAGGTCCCACCAAACTGGGCCATGGGCAGCATGGGGTGTCTGATCTGGTGCATGGTCTGGGCTGCCAGAAGGGCCAGCTGGGGATGGGCGTAGGCCAGGGGGAGAGACACGGGGAAGGGCTGCCTCACCCCAGACGACAGACCCTTACCCATCTTACCCCCTGTCTGAGAGGAGGACTGGAAGGAGACCCCAGAGGACGTGACCAGGGAGCCCAGGGCCTTGGCCCCGACGGTGAGGTTAAGGTTAGCCCCAGTGGGGGTGGGGAAGGGGGCTGAGGTGGTCTTGGAGCCCGGGGCCCTGATGTGGTTCCTGGGGATTAGGTCCTCTAGTTCCTTGGCTGGGTCCTGGATCAGAGAGTTGATCAGCTGGACCGCGTGGCGTGTCGACTCTGTGCCACCTCTGGAATGGACCATCACAACACAGGGGTCAGGGGATGCACTACAATGTACACATTCCATGGACATGGTTCCAACCAATCACAGTATCTCAACTCTTCACTGATATTGTGGAGATCCAGCAGGAGGATTAATAAGACATTACACTTCATTCCTTTTAAATGCTTAGAATCCCCCAGATAAATCAACACATACCTATTCATATTTTCCTCCTATTCAGTTCTCTCTCTCTCCCTACCTGATGGTGATCATTCTCTCTCCGTTCTTGTCTTTCTGTTTGTCCACGTCGATGTGTGCTCCCGTCACGTCCTGTATAGCTGTGATGTTGCAGCCTCCTCTACCCATGATCCTCGACACCACCGAGGCCGGCACCGACAGCTTCTTAGACCTGCAGCCCGGAAAAAGAGGTTCATATGGAGTTTAGAACCAGGCCGAAGGACAAGTTCCATGGGGAGCCACGGGGCTGACAACTCACTTTTCCTTATTGCCTAAAACAGTGGTTCCCAACCCGGGGTACTAGGACCCCTGGGGGTACTTGGTCTATCCACAGGGGGTACTTTAGAAGACTCATGAGACCAGAGGTCTACTGGTAAAATGCATGAGTGGGTACTTCAGGGGTACTCCGGGCAGAGCAAAATTAAGTTGGTGGTACAGTAACCAAAAAAGTTTGGGAACCACTGGCCTAAAATGACCTATAGATTTACTTGAAGCATTTCTAGATGGATTTTATGGATGGTGTGTGTGTACCCACCGTCTGACCACCTCCTTCCAGCCCTCCTCTCTCTTCTGTCCCCTCTTGGGGCTGGTCAGGCTCTTGCTGTTGGGGGAGGTGACGGGCAGAGACATGGTCTTAAACTGAGACGGTAGAGAGCTGCTCAGGGTCAACTCACTCATGTCTGGAGCTCTGAGAGGTTGGGCAGAGAGAGAGGAACAGAGAGAAAGAGGGGGGGAGAGAACGAGAGGGGAGGAAGGGAAAGGGATAAAGGTCAAATTGACATTTAATAAGGTTGCTGTTTTTAACTATGCATTTGTATTAGAAATGCACTGTTCTGTGTGATTTGATTGTGCTTGACCAGTTCCTTTAGGAAAACTACAGTTCTTAGTCTAACTCAAAATGTCTCTCCTTTAAAGTGCTACAGGTCACTCACTTCTGTGTAGGTTTGGAGATGGAGACGGTGACTTGGTTGCCTGGGTGTAGCTGAGGACAGTGTCTCTTTTCCGGGCCTGGCAGAAGGCTGTGCGAGGGGCCAGAGGACGAAGAGGAGGACGAGGAAGAGGAGGAGTAGGAAGAGGAGGGGAGGTCCGGGAGGAAGTTGAGCTCCTGGCTCTTGCCCCCGCTGCTGCTACTCTCACTGGCACAGTCAGTGCTGTCCAGGGGGTCTGAGTCACTGGTGCCCCCCGCCCCTGTCACCCCCCCGCCCCCGGCCCCACCCCGTGGCTCCCCATGGATCTCGTTGGCCTTGTGCTGTGCCAGCATCACCTGCTGGACAGATGGAATCATCACTGATTAGACACCTTGATTGACTTGCATAGATGGTTTGATGGTATAACTTTGAGTGGGAAAAAGAGGAGTAGAAATGTGTACATATTTGCAGCCACCCAGAAAAACACATCATAGCTTCACTCTTGTCCTTGAATTTAGCTAGTCTACATTCTATTTAGCAGTCATGTCATCAAAAAATAAGAAAGAAAATAAAAAAGTGAATCTATTTTAAATACACCAACCGCCTGTGGGTCCTGCAGTATGATTGGTTAATACCTGTGGGTCCTGACATATAATTGGTTCGCTGGGGGACGAGTCCTTGGTCTTGTTCTTCTTGCTTTTGCGGTTGACACTGGTCGTTGTGGCAACACTGGCCCTCTTCTTGCCGAACACACAGCTGAAGGAGGCCGAGGTGGCGGGGATACCGATGGTGGTAGTGGTGGTCGCACTGGGAGGGTCGATGGGGGGGTCCACTTCTGGAGAGGGGGAGGGATGGGTGGAGAGTTGAAGGGATAGTTCTACAATATTACATATTAGACATTTGTTTCCTTACCTTGAAAACTGTCTATGGACAAGGAGTGACTGCAATCTACACTTTGCTTTTGTTAAACTAGCCACTGCAAACAAATGCTAACATCAACATTTTGGGAACAAATTATTAGATATTGAAACCAAGATATAATTTACCCTCAGCGGAGTCATTCTGCTTCTGCATCTCACCGTCTTCCTCCTCCTCCTCCTCCTCCTTGGTCGTCTTCTGCTCCTCCTCCTCCTCCTCCTCCTCCTCCTGCTTTTTCTTCTGTTCCTCCTTCTTCTTCTTGCGTTTCTCCTTGCGTTTCTCTCTCTTGGCTGCCAGGGCCTGCTTCTTGCTCTCCTCTCTGGACTTCTCCAGGTCGAGCTCCTTGAGGAGAATGCTGGCGTTCTTGTTGGCCTCAGCAGCCTGCTGGTCTTTGGCTTTGACGATGGTCTCCATGCACTGGTGGCACTTCTTCAACAACTCCTGAGAGTGAGGGAGGGATGGAGAGTTAGTGGAAACTCAAATCTTTCGAACCCACCGCCATACTTATACAAGCTAAGCCGCATTTGACAGTCAATGATATCCAGCCAACATCCACAGAGTGATCATCCAACCTGGGGAGGTGTGTTACCTTGTCAGCGATGGTGGCGATGTATCTCATACACTCAATGTCTGAGGGGAACTGGTTGACCTCTTTTACCAGGTACTGAACCACCTTTACATGACCCTGAGAAACAGACACGCGAGAGAGAGAGAAAGAGAGAGATAACTGTAAAATAGGCCAACATTGTTTCAGGTAAAGACAGGGGGAAGACTGCAGGGCCGTGTAGAGGAACTAGATAGTGAGGGGGCCAGGTGTTTCACAGGGGAAGGGTCATCCTGCGACATTACCTACCTTGCGGAAGGCAGCCATGAGCGGTGTGATCTTGCGGTTGTCTGCAGCGTCTACGTCGGCCCCGGCCTGCACCAGCAGCTGAACCACGTCAAAATGGCCGCCGTTGGCCGCCAGCCACAAAGGGGTGTTCCCTTTCTTATTGCGCACGTCAATGTGAGCCCCTCTGGAGAACGGAAGAAAATAGGGAGGAGTTAAGAGAAGATAAATAAACACAGGATTTTAAAAAATGAAAGACTGAAAGAAAACATTCCATTTTAGGGAAATTCCTGGCTTCAAAATGAATACCCACTCAGACAAAGAGTGATTGATTGGTTGGTTTAACACCCACCTGTTGATGAGCAGCTCACAGAACTTGTAGTGACCCTTGTCTGCAGCGATGGTGAGGGCTGTGTCTCGGGACGAGGGGACAGGAGGGGCGTTGACATCAGCCCCTTTATCCAGCAGCACCCGGCCGACCTCAGCATAGCCCCCCGACGCCGCCTCCATCAGAGGGGTCAGACCAGTCTACCAGGGGAGAGGGAGGTCAACATCACATGTACAATATGGGGCCAATCCCTCACTCAAATCACTTAGTCATGCACTGATGTCAATGGGAGACGGAGTGACAATTCTGAAGTTAGGATTCACCAGATCCTATATGTACATTGGCTCTGGACTCCCTTGATATACTACTATAATATGGACGGCTAACAGTCCGGTCTCCTCACCTTGGCTCTGTGCTCTACGTTGGCCTTGCGGTCCAGCAGCAGACTGACCACCTCCGCCCGTCCCTGGAAGCAGGCCAGAGTGAGAGCCGTGTTCCTGTTGGTCTCGATCTGAGCGTTGATGTCTGAGCCCATGTCCAGCAGCAGCTTGACCGCTGGCACGTGACCGTTCATCGCTGCCAGCATCAGGGGAGAGATACCCAGCTTACTGCCCGTCCTAGAGAGAGAGAGAGAGCGACAGAGAGAGAGAGAGAGAGCGACAGAGAGAGAGAGAGAGAGAGAGAGCGACACAGAGGGACAGAGAGTGCGACAAAGAGAGAGAGCGCGACAGAGAGAGAGAGCGACAGAGAGGAAAAAAGTTGGAGGGAGGATTTTATCAATGAGTGAGATACGCGAGGAGAGGTGCTTTCACTACCAAAGATGCAGTCATCACTCATTTAAACAACCCAGTGGAAGTTTCTGATGTAAGAAATGCTATTTCATAAATAAATGTATTTGATCAAGACCTGGAAAAGTAGTGGTATCAGTTAGAAGAGAAAATAAGATGTGATCTTGTCACGTCCCGCCCAGTACCTGGAGTTGATCTCTGAGCCGGCATTGAGGAGGATCTTGATGATGTTGACATAGCCTCCGGACGCCGCCAGGCTCAAAGGGGTGTAGTCTGACACGTTACGATGCTCTTTATTGGCTCCTCGCAACAGCAACGATTCCACCACCTAGGAGAGGAGAGACAAGAGGAGAGGGGAGGGGACAAGGAAATGAAAGTTATTTGTAAGTACTGGGACATAGTCTTTATTATGTTTGCAATTTGCTATTGCAGTCAGTGAAAGGTGAGTTGATTCAGTGAGTCGTTTCAGTGTGGTTTCATAGAAGGGAAGTGAGCGTGTACCATAGAATTACATATTAGAAATAATACAAAACTGATTTAAATCTGATCTCTTGGTGTGTACCTCCTGTCGTCCCCCTGAGCAGGCCAGGGAGAGGGGCGTGTCTTTGGTTCTCTCTGACTGGGCCTCTATGTCACCCCCTTTATCCAGAAGGACCTCCACCACACCTACGTGGCCCGCTGTCGCAGCCAGGATCAGAGGGGTGAACCCTGGGGAGAGGAAGAGGAGAGGGTCAGAACCAGATATCCAGATTCACCCAATACAAACTGAAGCACTTTGAACACTGTATAAACCCTACCTTGGATGTAAGAAAACAAATATTCCTGATTAATCAGAAATTAAAACATGTCTGACAGATATACAGGCCCAACTAACACTCAGAATGAACAGTAACTTCATGTGTGTGTTACCTTTCTTGTCGCGGTGCTCGATGTTGGCTCCTCGTGCGATGAGAACAGACACCAGCTCCTCGTGTCCTCCGGCACATGCCAGCGTCAGCGCTGTGTCATGGTTACTCTCCGTCTGAAAGGAGAGGGACACACACATTTACAACAACGCTGTGGGTATGTGTGTGTCTCTCAGTCTCGAATGTGTGTATGGGTGACCATGGGCTTTACATGAGCATCGATAACCACAGTGTGTGTGTGAGCAGTGACTTACGTGAGCGTCGATGTCCACAGAGGGGTAGAGGGGCAGTGGGGAGGGGGGCGAGCCCATGTTGGAGGGGGTCTGTGACAGGGGGTCAGACAAGGGGGTGGGGGACGTCGTAGTGTTCAGCATGGGTACTCTGCTGCTCACTGCTGCTGGAACAGAGAAAGGAGGAGAGAAACAGGGGAGGAGAAAGACAGAGAGAGACAGAAAGAGAGACAGAAAGAGAGACAGAAAGAGAGACAAAGACCAAGAGAAGAGTTAGTATTTGTTACTTTTCAGGCATTTCTTCTGGGGAATTTGTTCATCAGTTCTGTTCTTTCAAATCATTGCAGTTGAAGGAAAGGAGACAGTATACTAAGGAGGAAATGAGTTAAGACTATTGAGATGCACCCACCCACAGCAGGCAGACGGGAACAGCTGTAAGACCACGCTACGCTACACACACTCACCTGCCATGATGTCATCCAGCGTGTCTGTAAGTGTCTGAGCGGGCGTAGCCACCATGAGTCCGTCTGGGGCTTGCTGCCCTACCATCCCTGGTCCTAACCCCTGACCCTGACCCAGACCCAGCATCTGCTGGCCCACCAGTACCCTCTGCAGATCAGGGCTGGTACTGCCAGGGCAGGGGTAGTCGGCTGGGCACGGGCTGTACTCGGGTAGAGGCTGGATGGGCACGAAGGCTGTCTGGAGGGGGGGAGGAGGGGGGTGGAGATGGGAGTGGGGGGAGGGCGAGGGGGGCAGGGGGGGCTGCTGTCCGTCCCTGTAGAGGATAGTGTCCACCTGGGGTAGCTTAGCGTAATCTTCCTCCTCTCCTTCCACCTCTTCTTCTTCATCATCCTCCTCCTCCTCATCGTCGTCATCATCCTGGAATAGAAATGAGGCAAACTTCTAACAATCAAACAAAGCATCTAAAAGTATGAAAGTATGAGTTCTTACAAAACACAGCAGGAATGTGATCAAGAGAAATCAGGATTTGGGCTAGAGGATGGATAAGTCTGTTTCTATTAGATATGAGAGGATGGATAAGTCTGTTTCTATTAGATATGAGGGGATGAATAAGTGTTTATATTAGATATGAGAGGATGGATAAGTCTGTTTCTATTAGATATGAGGGGATGGATAAGTCTGTTTCTTTTAGATATGAGGGGATGGATAAGTCTGTTTCTATTAGATATGAGGGGATGGATCAGTCTGTTTCTATTAGATATGAGGGGATGGATAAGTCTGTTTCTATTAGATATGAGGGGATGGATAAGTCTGTTTCTATTAGATATGAGGGGATGGATCAGTCTGTTTCTATTAGATATGAGGGGATGGATAAGTCTGTTTCTATTAGATATGAGGGGATGGATAAGTCTGTTTCTATTAGATATGAGGGGATGGATACGTCTGTTTCTATTAGATATGAGGGGATGGATAAGTCTGTTTCTATTAGATATGAGAGGATGGATAAGTCTGTTTCTATTAGATATGAGAGGATGGATAAGTCTGTTTCTATTAGATATGAGAGGATGGATAAGTCTGTTTCTATTAGATATGAGGGGATGAATAAGTGTTTCTATTAGATATGAGAGGATGGATAAGTCTGTTTCTATTAGATATGAGAGGATGGATAAGTCTGTTTCTATTAGATATGAGGGGATGGATAAGTCTGTTTCTATTAGATATGAGGGGATGGATAAGTCTGTTTCTATTAGATATGAGGGGATGGATAAGTCTGTTTCTATTAGATATGAGGGGATGGATAAGTCTGTTTCTATTAGATATGAGAGGATGGATAAGTCTGTTTCTATTAGATATGAGAGGATGGATAAGTCTGTTTCTATTAGATATGAGGGGATGGATAAGTCTGTTTCTATTAGATATGAGGGGATGAATAAGTGTTTATATTAGATATGAGAGGATGGATAAGTCTGTTTCTATTAGATATGAGGGGATGGATACGTCTGTTTCTATTAGATATGAGGGGATGGATACGTCTGTTTCTATTAGATATGAGGGGATGGATAAGTCTGTTTCTATTAGATATGAGGGGATGGATACGTCTGTTTCTATTAGATATGAGGGGATGGATAAGTCTGTTTCTATTAGATATGAGAGGATGGATAAGTCTGTTTCTATTAGATATGAGAGGATGGATAAGTCTGTTTCTATTAGATATGAGAGGATGGATAAGTCTGTTTCTATTAGATATGAGGGGATGAATAAGTGTTTATATTAGATATGAGAGGATGGATAAGTCTGTTTCTATTAGATATGAGGGGATGGATACGTCTGTTTCTATTAGATATGAGGGGATGGATAAGTCTGTTTCTATTAGATATGAGGGGATGGATACGTCTGTTTCTATTAGATATGAGGGGATGGATAAGTCTGTTTCTATTAGATATGAGAGGATGGATAAGTCTGTTTCTATTAGATATGAGGGGATGAATAAGTGTTTATATTAGATATGAGAGGATGGATAAGTCTGTTTCTATTAGATATGAGGGGATGGATACGTCTGTTTCTATTAGATATGAGGGGATGGATAAGTCTGTTTCTATTAGATATGAGGGGATGGATACGTCTGTTTCTATTAGATATGAGGGGATGGATAAGTCTGTTTCTATTAGATATGAGAGGATGGATAAGTCTGTTTCTATTAGATATGAGAGGATGGATAAGTCTGTTTCTATTAGATATGAGAGGATGGATAAGTCTGTTTCTATTAGATATGAGGGGATGAATAAGTGTTTATATTAGATATGAGAGGATGGATAAGTCTGTTTCTATTAGATATGAGGGGATGGATACGTCTGTTTCTATTAGATATGAGAGGATGGATAAGTCTGTTTCTATTAGATATGAGGGGATGGATACGTCTGTTTCTATTAGATATGAGGGGATGGATAAGTCTGTTTCTATTAGATATGAGGGGATGGATAAGTCTGTTTCTATTAGATATGAGGGGATGGATAAGTCTGTTTCTATTAGATATGAGAGGATGGATAAGTCTGTTTCTATTAGATATGAGGGGATGAATAAGTGTTTATATTAGATATGAGAGGATGGATAAGTCTGTTTCTATTAGATATGAGGGGATGGATACGTCTGTTTCTATTAGATATGAGGGGATGGATACGTCTGTTTCTATTAGATATGAGGGGATGGATACGTCTGTTTCTATTAGATATGAGGGGATTGATAAGTCTGTTTCTATTAGATATGAGGGGATGGATAAGTCTGTTTCTATTAGATATGAGGGGATGGATACGTCTGTTTCTATTAGATATGAGGGGATGGATACGTCTGTTTCTATTAGATATGAGGGGATTGATAAGTCTGTTTCTATTAGATATGAGAGGATGGATAAGTCTGTTTCTATTAGATATGAGAGGATGGATAAGTCTGTTTCTATTAGATATGAGGGGATGAATAAGTGTTTATATTAGATATGAGAGGATGGATAAGTCTGTTTCTATTAGATATGAGGGGATGGATACGTCTGTTTCTATTAGATATGAGGGGATGGATAAGTCTGTTTCTATTAGATATGAGGGGATGGATACGTCTGTTTCTATTAGATATGAGGGGATGGATAAGTCTGTTTCTATTAGATATGAGAGGATGGATAAGTCTGTTTCTATTAGATATGAGGGGATGGATAAGTCTGTTTCTATTAGATATGAGAGGATGGATAAGTCTGTTTCTATTAGATATGAGGGGATGGATAATGCCAGAAAATCAGAAACTCTTGATTATTCAGAAATAATCACATTCCTTCAGATCAAAATGACAACAAAAAAAAACAGACCACCACCAACAACAACTCCTAACCTCCTCCTCCTCTTCCTCCTCTCTGTTCCCCTCCTCGTCAGACCCTGTATCCGACCCGGGCTGTGTGTGCGTGTTAACCCCCGGTGGTGCTGTGAGGGCCCCAGGCATGGTAGTGTTGGCCCCTACCCCCGGCCCCGGCCCTGGGTCCTGGCCTGCCTCCTGCTCCTCCTTCATGCCCTTGGCCTCCATGTACTCTTTGGTGAACTGCTGCTGGGTCTTCAACTGCAGCTGGCGCTCCACCTTCTGCAGCTCCTTCAGAATCTTCTTCTTCTTCTGGACCTAGAAGACACGTACGCCACGGGGTGGGTTAGGGTGAATCAGACCTATAGTTCTATGGTCAGACCTTGCTCATCCATTAGTTGAAAGATGGGTGGAGCTATCAACATATTTCCGAGACCTATCTGGTCCCTTCAGACCTGGGTGGTGTTCCTTAGGCACCAAACGGGGATGGAACTACCTGGACTGCCTGGAATAACAAACCCACATTTTCACTTCGTGTTGCAAAAAGTTAAAACATTTGTGTGCCCTATACCTGTATTGAGGGTCTTGGACAGCGTTTCCCAAACTCGGTCCTGGGGACCCCAAGGGTAATGAAATCATCATCAAGCTTTGATTATTTTAAAATCAGCCGTGTAGTGCTAAGGCAAAAACCAAAACATGCACCCCTTGGGGTCCCCAGGACAGAGTTTGGGAAACGTTGGTCTATGACCTCATCCCCACTAGTAATTCAATAGGATCTCTGTGGTCCTATACCTATGAATGATCCCCTCTGTCTGTCTGCTCTCACCTGCTCCTCCCGGCTCTTCTTCAGCTCTTCGATCTTGTCTTTGGTGAGCGGCTCTCCCTGGATCAGTTCCAGAGACTGCAGCTGGGCCTTCTCTATGGCTGAGATCCTCTGGCCCAGCTCATTAAGCTTCCCCTCCGTCTCCTCCACGATACACTCCAGGGGCTGGCACAGGTGGAATGGGGGCAAGGCCTCTGCATCCCCGGGACCCGGGCCGGGACGCACCCCTCCTGGACTGGAGGGGCTGGGAGGGAGGGCAGCCTGTCTCTGCTTGGACGAACCTGGAGAGGAGGGATGGAGGACGAGGGATGAAGAGGAGGGAGAGAGATGGAGGGAACAAGGAATGATAGCAGGATTAGGTCACATTACAATAAAGCCAATTCATCATCAGTTGAAGTCACGTCATCGTTAGACACTTTTGATATATATAACAGGCCAAGCCAAGGCTCTCCGTTTCTAAGAGGCCAAGCCAAGGCTCTCCGTTTCTAAGAGGCCAAGCCAAGGCTCTCCGTTTCCAAGAGGCCAAGCCAAGGCTCTCCGTTTCTAACAGGCCAAGCCAAGGCTCTCCGTTTCCAAGAGGCCAAGCCAAGGCTCTCCGTTTCTAACAGGCCAAGCCAAGGCTCTCCGTTTCTAAGAGGCCAAGCCAAGGCTCTCCGTTTCTAAGAGGCCAAGCCAAGGCTCTCCGTTTCCAAGAGGCCAAGCCAAGGCTCTCCGTTTCTAAGAGGCCAAGCCAAGGCTCTCCGTTTCTAAGAGGCCAAGCCAAGGCTCTCCGTTTCTAACAGGCCAAGCCAAGGCTCTCTGTTTTACCTTTGCTGGTGACGGGTGGCGGGGACGTGGTGATGTTGGAGGGGGCTCTGTCTGGCTCCTGGGGGGGCACCACCATGGCCAGGGCCTGGAATGGGACACGAGGAACCTGGGGATAGAAGGGTGGTCGTAAAACATAAAACAACTAGTTAAACACAATTTCCATGCTGGCCTGTTTCAATAGCGCAAAACAATTACTTACCTGAAAGGGGTCTTGTGAGGGTGTGTGAGTTTTACCTGAGAGGGGTTTTGTGAGGGGGGTGTGAGTTTTACCTGAGAGGGGTCTTGTGAGGGGGGTGGTGAGTTTTACCTGAGAGGGGTCTTGTGAGGGGGGTGGTGAGTTTTACCTGAGAGGGGTCTTGTGAGGGGGTGTGAGTTTTACCTGAGAGGGGTCTTGTGAGGGGGGTGTGAGTTTTACCTGAGATGGGTCTTGTGAGGGGGATGTGAGTTTTACCTGAGAGGGGTCTTGTGAGGGGGGTGTGAGTTTTACCTGAGAGGGGTCTTGTGAGGGGGTGTGAGTTTTACCTGAGAGGGGTCTTGTGAGAGGGGTGTTGTGAGGGGGGGGTGTGAGTTTTACCTGAGATGGGTCTTGTGAGGGGGGTGTGAGTTGGCAGAGGTCAGGCGCGGGGACAGACAGGATGTTGTTAGGGAAGTCTAGCAGGTAGGACACCACGTTGGTGTGGCCGCCCTTAGCAGCTTCAATCAGCATCGTCGAGCCGTCCTATTGGAGGAGAAACAGGAAGTGAGTAAGTCTGAATGAGGCTTCATCACAGTTAACTTTTTCTATTCTGATACTCTTGTTCATATGGCTGAGTTAAACAGCTTTCTTATGAGTTTGATGGTATTGTTTGATGATGGTGTGTGTGTGTTTTCTACCTTCAGTCTTTGTTTGGGGTCAGGTGTGTGTGTGGGGTCAGGTGTGTGTGTGTGTTGAACCTTCAGTCTGTGTGTGGGGTCAGGTTTGTGTGTGGGGTCAGGTGTGTGTGTGGGGTCAGGTGTGTGTGTGGGGTCAGGTGTGTGTGTGGGGTCAGGTGTGTGTGTGTGTTGAACCTTCAGTCTGTGTGTGGGGTCAGGTGTGTGTGTTGAACCTTCAGTCTGTGTGTGGGGTCAGGTGTGTGTGTGTGGGGTCAGGTGTGTGTGTGTGTGTGTGTGTGTGTGTGGGGTCAGGTGTGTGTGTGTGGGGTCAGGTGTGTGTGTGTGTTGAACCTTCAGTCTGTGTGTGGGGTCAGCTCCATGCGCCAGCAGCAGTTCTACCACAGCTAGGTGCCCTCCAGCACAGGCCAGAGACACCACCGTGTGGTCCTTGTTAGCGGTCGCTCTGTTCACATTAGCACCTGGACACAAAACACAGGAAAGAAACAATATATACTGCAACATGCAACAATTTCAAAGATTTTACTGAGCTACAGTTCATAGATGGAAAAATCAGTCAATTGAAATAAATAAATTAGGCCCTAAGGATTTCATTAGAATGGGCAGGGGCACAGCCATGAGGGGCCTGGGAGGGCATAGGCCCACCCAATGGGGAGCCAGGCCCAGCCAATCAGAATGAGTTTTTCCCCACAAAAGGGCATTATTACAGACAGAATTACTCCTCAGCACCCCCCCACCCCATCCCCTCTCAGACGATCCCGCAGGTGAAGAAGCCAGATGTGGATGTCCTGGGCTGGCCTGGTTACACGTGGTCTGGGGTTGTGAGGCCGGTTGGATGTGCTGCCAAATTCTCTAAAAACGATGTGTAATGATCATGCTGTTTAATCAGCTTCTTGATATGCCACACCGGTCAGGTGGATGGATTATCTTGGCAAAGGAGAAATGCTCAAACAAATCTGTGCACAAAATTAGAGAGAAATAAGCTTTTGGTGCGTATGGAACATTTCTGGGATCTTTTGTTTCAGCCCATGAAACATGGGAACAACACTTGACATGTTGCGTTTATATTTTTGTTCAGTATATACTTTCATCCACTTTAAACTTCTAAGAATCAATCGTTTCATAATAATAATAGTTCAAAATGGATGTAGATCTTAAAGGAGGGAATTGTACAACAACATAGAATTAGAACCAGTGATTGGAACCGGTTCAGGAACCAGAAAATAACAAACATTTACGAGGAACGAAGGTGATCTATAGTGTTCCGGAACAGAACCATTATTTTAAAAGCATGGGAACCGGTTAATAACGTTATTTTACGCTCCAAGCTATTTTTTCAGTCCCACAAAAAAACACCATCAAAGCACCTATGCAAAGCACTTCCTCTGTCACGTCAACTTCTCCTTCCAGTGTCTGCCATAGTAGGACATAGTTAAGGGCATTGTAGTGGTTTAAAAAAAAAGATGCAGTCTAACCTAACCCACCCTTGCTGATGAGGAACTGCACGGTGCAGAGGTGTCCTGCTCTGGCTGCCTTCATCAGGGGAGTCCTCCCCCCCTCAGACTCATGCTCCTGGAGGACAGACAAAAAGGATGTGGATTTTAGGAGAGGAAATGGGCGGAAAGAAAGAAGGAAAGAAAGAGATAACAGGAGTGTTTGTGTACCAGATCTGCTCCAGTCTGCAGCAGAATGTCGGCCACGTCAGTGTGTCCGTTCTCACACGCGTACGTCAGTGCTGTGTCTCCCGTCGCCGTGGTAGCGTGCACGTTCGCACCTACAGAGAGAAGTCAGAGTTCAGAGCTGACCCAAAAGAAAAACTAACAAGCCCTGTTAAAAGGCAGAGGTTGTCAACTTTACAACAGCCATCTAGTTACTAGGCTAAGTCCTGGAGTCTCACATAAGTTCTCTACAAAAATACTAAAGATCAAACAAAGAATCTTCAATACGACTCCCCATCTCACCTGCAGCCAGGAGGTATTTGACCAGCTCCAGGTGTGTGTGTGTGTACCTGCAGCCAGGAGGTATTTGACCAGCTCCAGGTGTGTGTGTGTGTACCTGCAGCCAGGAGGTATTTGACCAGCTCCAGGTGTGTGTGTGTGTGTACCTGCAGCCAGGAGGTATTTGACCAGCTCCAGGTGTGTGTGTGTGTACCTGCAGCCAGGAGGTATTTGACCAGCTCCAGGTGTGTGTGTGTGTACCTGCAGCCAGGAGGTATTTGACCAGCTCCAGGTGTGTGTGTGTGTACCTGCAGCCAGGAGGTATTTGACCAGCTCCAGGTGTCCCTCCTGAGCAGCCTCCATGAGAGGCGTGGAGCAGCCCAGTTCGATGTCGGCTCCGGCCTTGATGAGGAAGTCAGCCACCTCCAGGAACCCTCCACAGCACGACAGGGTCAGGGCTGTCTCCTGGGTCTCCTCCGTCTGGGCGTTGATGTTGGCACCTGGAGGGGGAGGAGAGAGACAGAGAGAGCGAGAGAGAGATGGAGGCAGAAATAGAGAGAGATGAGAGAGAGGCTAGTGTCTATATTAGAAGTGAAACCCTCTCCAACAGGCCTGACAAAGTACTTCATTACACACAATAACATAGTATATGCAAGAGCATTGAACAGTGTTCAGGTCTCCATTTATTTTCTAGTTCCATATGATCCCAGTTCATTACCCTGAGCCAGCAGCAGAGCCACCATCTCTTCATGGCCTTCTCTGGCTGCCTCCATCAGAGGGGTATAGCCTTCATCATTCACCTAGACACATTAAAACATCCAGTTACAGGACTCAGTGGCTGAATCCCAAATCACCCCCTTCCCCTGGCCCCTCCACGCACACGTTCACGTGCGCCTCCGTCATTTGCAAAAGTGTCCCAAAGCTGAAGGAATGAAAATGATCAAGGGCGTAGGGGTTAATTAGCCCTTACAGTAGGCACTTAGACTGAGCCTGCAACGCTGCTGGCTTCATAGCGAAGTGAAATCCCATAAGGCACCGTGTTATTTAAAAATGTGCGCAATTTCACACAAAATAATGGAGAGGCGTGCCTAATTATATGACACGTGCATTGGTTTGTAAAATATAAAAAATAACTCCTAAATTAAAGATTTAACTGTTACTGTAAAACGACAGGGAGTATTTGTTCATTTGAATTTCACTCCCCTTTTTACAATTTAAAAATGGATCATGAATTGCATCATTCAAGTCAGTTGTGTGTCCTGAAGTTGATGGGTTTATTGACCCCCTCGCCACTCTCTGGAAGTCACCCTCGGAGAGTGACAGAGGGCCCTCCAAGCGGGTTGGTAAGGGCGAGGCGGTGGTTTGGGATTCACCATCCCTAACCCATCAGATGGCTGTAGCCCTCATCATTCACCTAGATACACATTAAAACATCCACTGTTACAGGACTCTGTGTGTGTTGCTACTCACCTCCTCTAGGTTGGCTCCTCTCTCTATGAGCAGAGCTGCTAGTTCTACGTGCCCGCCGCAGGCTGCCAGGGTGAGGGGCGACTCGAAGGAGTCAGCGGGCATGTTGACCTGCGCCCCGCTGTCCAACAGCAGCCGTGCCACCTCCACATGCCCATCCTGGGACAGGAGACACACACACACACACAGGGACAACATAAGCACCTGAGTGGGTTACACACACACACACACACACACACTGGAGAGACACGCACACAGACATAAGCACCCGGGTTGCACGCACACATGCAGGGAGAGAGAAGAGAGGGGCTGTGTGTTGGGTCATATGCTCACCATGCAGGGAGAGAGAAGAGGGGGGCTGTGTGTTGGGTCATATGCTCACCATGCAGGGAGAGAGAAGAGGGGCTGTGTGTTGGGTCATATGCTCACCATGCAGGGAGAGAGAAGAGGGGGGCTGTGTGTTGGGTCATATGCTCACCATGCAGGGAGAGAGAAGAGGGGCTGTGTGTTGGGTCATATGCTCACCATGCAGGGAGAGAGAAGAGGGGCTGTGTGTTGGGTCATATGCTCACCATGCAGGGAGAGAGAAGAGGGGCTGTGTGTTGGGTCATATGCTCACCATGCAGGGAGAGAGAAGAGAGGGGCTGTGTGTTGGGTCATATGCTCACCATGCAGGGAGAGAGAAGAGGGGCTGTGTGTTGGGTCATATGCTCACCATGCAGGGAGAGAGAAGAGGGGCTGTGTGTTGGGTCATATGCTCACCATGCAGGGAGAGAGAAGAGAGGGGCTGTGTGTTGGGTCATATGCTCACCATGCAGGGAGAGAGAAGAGGGGCTGTGTGTTGGGTCATATGCTCACCATGCAGGGAGAGAGAAGAGGGGCTGTGTGTTGGGTCATATGCTCACCATGCAGGGAGAGAGAAGAGAGGGGCTGTGTGTTGGGTCATATGCTCACCATGCAGGGAGAGAGAAGAGGGGCTGTGTGTTGGGTCATATGCTCACCATGCAGGGAGAGAGAAGAGGGGCTGTGTGTTGGGTCATATGCTCACCATGCAGGGAGAGAGAAGAGGGGCTGTGTGTTGGGTCATATGCTCACCATGCAGGGAGAGAGAAGAGGGGGGCTGTGTGTTGGGTCATATGCTCACCATGCAGGGAGAGAGAAGAGAGGGGCTGTGTGTTGGGTCATATGCTCACCATGCAGGGAGAGAGAAGAGAGGGGCTGTGTGTTGGGTCATATGCTCACCATGCAGGGAGAGAGAAGAGAGGGGCTGTGTGTTGGGTCATATGCTCACCATGCAGGGAGAGAGAAGAGGGGGGCTGTGTGTTGGGTCATATGCTCACCATGCAGGGAGAGAGAAGAGGGGCTGTGTGTTGGGTCATATGCTCACCATGCAGGGAGAGAGAAGAGAGGGGCTGTGTGTTGGGTCATATGCTCACCATGCAGGGAGAGAGAAGAGGGGGGCTGTGTGTTGGGTCATATGCTCACCATGCAGGGAGAGAGAAGAGGGGGGCTGTGTGTTGGGTCATATGCTCACCATGCAGGGAGAGAGAAGAGGGGCTGTGTGTTGGGTCATATGCTCACCATGCAGGGAGAGAGAAGAGGGGGGCTGTGTGTTGGGTCATATGCTCACCATGCAGGGAGAGAGAAGAGAGGGGCTGTGTGTTGGGTCATATGCTCACCATGCAGGGAGAGAGAAGAGAGGGGCTGTGTGTTGGGTCATATGCTCACCATGCAGGGAGAGAGAAGAGAGGGGCTGTGTGTTGGGTCATATGCTCACCATGCAGGGAGAGAGAAGAGAGGGGCTGTGTGTTGGGTCATATGCTCACCATGCAGGGAGAGAGAAGAGAGGGGCTGTGTGTTGGGTCATATGCTCACCATGCAGGGAGAGAGAAGAGAGGGGCTGTGTGTTGGGTCATATGCTCACCATGCAGGGAGAGAGAAGAGAGGGGCTGTGTGTTGGGTCATATGCTCACCATGCAGGGAGAGAGAAGAGAGGGGCTGTGTGTTGGGTCATATGCTCACCATGCAGGGAGAGAGAAGAGGGGCTGTGTGTTGGGTCATATGCTCACCATGCAGGGAGAGAGAAGAGAGGGGCTGTGTGTTGGGTCATATGCTCACCATGCAGGGAGAGAGAAGAGGGGCTGTGTGTTGGGTCATATGCTCACCATGCAGGGAGAGAGAAGAGGGGCTGTGTGTTGGGTCATATGCTCACCATGCAGGGAGAGAGAAGAGGGGCTGTGTGTTGGGTCATATGCTCACCATGCAGGGAGAGAGAAGAGAGGGGCTGTGTGTTGGGTCATATGCTCACCATGCAGGGAGAGAGAAGAGGGGCTGTGTGTTGGGTCATATGCTCACCATGCAGGGAGAGAGAAGAGGGGCTGTGTGTTGGGTCATATGCTCACCATGCAGGGAGAGAGAAGAGGGGGGCTGTGTGTTGGGTCATATGCTCACCATGCAGGGAGAGAGAAGAGAGGGGCTGTGTGTTGGGTCATATGCTCACCATGCAGGGAGAGAGAAGAGAGGGGCTGTGTGTTGGGTCATATGCTCACCATGCAGGGAGAGAGAAGAGAGGGGCTGTGTGTTGGGTCATATGCTCACCATGCAGGGAGAGAGAAGAGAGGGGCTGTGTGTTGGGTCATATGCTCACCATGCAGGGAGAGAGAAGAGGGGGGCTGTGTGTTGGGTCATATGCTCACCATGCAGGGAGAGAGAAGAGGGGCTGTGTGTTGGGTCATATGCTCACCATGCAGGGAGAGAGAAGAGAGGGGCTGTGTGTTGGGTCATATGCTCACCATGCAGGGAGAGAGAAGAGGGGGGCTGTGTGTTGGGTCATATGCTCACCATGCAGGGAGAGAGAAGAGGGGGGCTGTGTGTTGGGTCATATGCTCACCATGCAGGGAGAGAGAAGAGGGGCTGTGTGTTGGGTCATATGCTCACCATGCAGGGAGAGAGAAGAGGGGCTGTGTGTTGGGTCATATGCTCACCATGCAGGGAGAGAGAAGAGAGGGGCTGTGTGTTGGGTCATATGCTCACCATGCAGGGAGAGAGAAGAGAGGGGCTGTGTGTTGGGTCATATGCTCACCATGCAGGGAGAGAGAAGAGAGGGGCTGTGTGTTGGGTCATATGCTCACCATGCAGGCTTCCATCAGTGCTGTGTGCATCTCATCCGTCTTATGCTCCTGATCTGCCCCAGCTTCCAGCAGAAACCTCACCATGTCCAGATGACCTGGAGGGAGAGGGGAGGGAGGGATAAATCACTTCATTTAAATTGACATTTTGTTGTCTGAGACTATGAATGTTGTATTGGGGGGGCTATGTGAGCGAGCGCCACAAGAAAACATCTAAAAAAAACAATCAAAAGGGAACACTTGAAGGAGAAGTGAAGAAGAGTGTCACCTTTGTAGCAGGCGAGTGTGAGGGCGCTCTCCTTGAACTCGTTGGAGTGTGTGTTGATCCCGGCGCCGTACTCCAGCAGAACCCTGGCCACATCCACGTGGCCCGCGCTCGCCCCCTCCATTAGGGGGGTGTGGCCGTTCTCGTTGTGGTCCTCGATGTTGGCCCCCTCCTTTAGGAGAACCTTCACCACATCTACGAACCCCCCAGCACACGCATACGTCAGGGCTGTGTTACCTACAGGGGGAGAGACCATACGTCAGGGCTGTGTTACCTACAGGGGGAGAGACCATACGTCAGGGCTGTGTTACCTACAGGGGGAGAGACCATACGTCAGGGCTGTGTTACCTACAGGGAGAGGGGGAGAGACCATACGTCAGGGCTGTGTTACCTACAGGGAGAGAGACCATACGTCAGGGCTGTGTTACCTACAGGGGGAGAGACCATACGTCAGGGCTGTGTTACCTACAGGGGGAGAGACCATACGTCAGGGCTGTGTTACCTACAGGGGGAGAGACCATACGTCAGGGCTGTGTTACCTACAGGGGGAGAGACCATACGTCAGGGCTGTGTTACCTACAGGGGGAGAGACCATACGTCAGGGCTGTGTTACCTACAGGGGGAGAGACCATACGTCAGGGCTGTGTTACCTACAGGGGGAGAGACCATACGTCAGGGCTGTGTTACCTACAGGGGGAGAGACCATACGTCAGGGCTGTGTTACCTACAGGGAGAGGGGGAGAGACCATACGTCAGGGCTGTGTTACCTACAGGGAGAGAGACCATACGTCAGGGCTGTGTTACCTACAGGGAGAGGGGGAGAGACCATACGTCAGGGCTGTGTTACCTACAGGGGGAGAGACCATACGTCAGGGCTGTGTTACCTACAGGGAGAGAGACCATACGTCAGGGCTGTGTTACCTACAGGGAGAGAGACCATACGTCAGGGCTGTGTTACCTACAGGGGGAGAGACCATACGTCAGGGCTGTGTTACCTACAGGGGGAGAGACCATACGTCAGGGCTGTGTTACCTACAGGGAGAGGGGGAGAGACCATACGTCAGGGCTGTGTTACCTACAGGGAGAGAGACCATACGTCAGGGCTGTGTTACCTACAGGGGGAGAGACCATACGTCAGGGCTGTGTTACCTACAGGGGGAGAGACCATACGTCAGGGCTGTGTTACCTACAGGGGGAGAGACCATACGTCAGGGCTGTGTTACCTACAGGGGGAGAGACCATACGTCAGGGCTGTGTTACCTACAGGGGGAGAGACCATACGTCAGGGCTGTGTTACCTACAGGGGGAGAGACCATACGTCAGGGCTGTGTTACCTACAGGGGGAGAGACCATACGTCAGGGCTGTGTTACCTACAGGGGGAGAGACCATACGTCAGGGCTGTGTTACCTACAGGGGGAGAGACCATACGTCAGGGCTGTGTTACCTACAGGGGGAGAGACCATACGTCAGGGCTGTGTTACCTACAGGGAGAGGGGGAGAGACCATACGTCAGGGCTGTGTTACCTACAGGGAGAGAGACCATACGTCAGGGCTGTGTTACCTACAGGGAGAGGGGGAGAGACCATACGTCAGGGCTGTGTTACCTACAGGGGGAGAGACCATACGTCAGGGCTGTGTTACCTACAGGGAGAGAGACCATACGTCAGGGCTGTGTTACCTACAGGGAGAGAGACCATACGTCAGGGCTGTGTTACCTACAGGGGGAGAGACCATACGTCAGGGCTGTGTTACCTACAGGGGGAGAGACCATACGTCAGGGCTGTGTTACCTACAGGGAGAGAGACCATACGTCAGGGCTGTGTTACCTACAGGGAGAGAGACCATACGTCAGGGCTGTGTTACCTACAGGGGGAGAGACCATACGTCAGGGCTGTGTTACCTACAGGGGGAGAGACCATACGTCAGGGCTGTGTTACCTACAGGGGGAGAGACCATACGTCAGGGCTGTGTTACCTACAGGGAGAGAGACCATACGTCAGGGCTGTGTTACCTACAGGGGGAGAGACCATACGTCAGGGCTGTGTTACCTACAGGGAGAGAGACCATACGTCAGGGCTGTGTTACCTACAGGGGGAGAGACCATACGTCAGGGCTGTGTTACCTACAGGGAGAGAGACCATACGTCAGGGCTGTGTTACCTACAGGGGGAGAGACCATACGTCAGGGCTGTGTTACCTACAGGGAGAGAGCCCATACGTCAGGGCTGTGTTACCTACAGGGGGAGAGACCATACGTCAGGGCTGTGTTACCTACAGGGAGAGAGACCATACGTCAGGGCTGTGTTACCTACAGGGAGAGGGGGAGAGACCATACGTCAGGGCTGTGTTACCTACAGGGAGAGGGGGAGAGACCATACGTCAGGGCTGTGTTACCTACAGGGGGAGAGACCATACGTCAGGGCTGTGTTTACCTACAGGGAGAGAGACCATACGTCAGGGCTGTGTTACCTACAGGGAGAGAGACCATACGTCAGGGCTGTGTTACCTACAGGGAGAGGGGGAGAGACCATACGTCAGGGCTGTGTTACCTACAGGGGGAGAGACCATACGTCAGCGCTGTGTTACCTACAGGGGGAGAGACCATACGTCAGGGCTGTGTTACCTACAGGGGGAGAGACCATACGTCAGGGCTGTGTTACCTACAGGGGGAGAGACCATACGTCAGGGCTGTGTTACCTACAGGGGGAGAGACCATACGTCAGGGCTGTGTTACCTACAGGGAGAGAGACCATACGTCAGGGCTGTGTTACCTACAGGGAGAGAGACCATACGTCAGGGCTGTGTTACCTACAGGGGGAGAGACCATACGTCAGGGCTGTGTTACCTACAGGGGGAGAGACCATACGTCAGGGCTGTGTTACCTACAGGGGGAGAGACCATACGTCAGGGCTGTGTTACCTACAGGGGGAGAGACCATACGTCAGGGCTGTGTTACCTACAGGGGGAGAGACCATACGTCAGGGCTGTGTTACCTACAGGGAGAGAGACCAGGGGGAAGACATACCGTCAGGGCTGGTGTTCCTACAGGGGAGAGACCATACGTCAGGGCTGTGTTACCTACAGGGAGAGAGACCATACGTCAGGGCTGGTGGTTACCTACAGGGGGAGAGACCATAACGTCAGGGCTGTGTTACCTACAGGGGGAGAGACCATACGTCAGGGCTGTGTTACCTACAGGGGGAGAGACCATACGTCAGGGCTGTGTTACCTACCAGGGGGAGAAGACCATACGTCAGGGCTGTGTTACCTACAGGGAGAGAGACCATACGTCCGGGGCTGTGTTACCTACAGGGGGAGAGACCATACGTCAGGGCTGTGTTACCTACAGGGGAGAGACCATACGTCAGGGCTGTGTTACCTACAGGGGGAGAGACCATACGTCAGGGCTGTGTTACCTACAGGGGGAGAGACCATACGTCAGGGCTGTGTTACCTACAGGGGGAGAGAAGGGAGAGAGACCATACGTCAGGGCTGTGTTACCTACAGGGGGAGAGACCATACGTCAGGGCTGTGTTACCTACAGGGGGAGAGACCATACGTCAGGGCTGTGTTACCTACAGGGGGAGAGACCATACGTCAGGGCTGTGTTACCTACAGGGAGAGAGACCATACGTCAGGGCTGTGTTACCTACAGGGGGAGGGGGAGAGACCATACGTCAGGGCTGTGTTACCTACAGGGGGAGAGACCATACGTCAGGGCTGTGTTACCTACAGGGAGAGGGGGAGAGACAGCGTGGCAGAGGGAGAGAAGAACTAGATACTTGTGTTGTCTGTTAGTGATGTTTTAATGGAGCTAGATGGAGCACAAGGACATATTGTCCAAACAGAAATCTAAACGTTTTGGTTTGGACAAAGAATTATGACAAGAAATATCCACACGCACATTGAACAAGGCAGATGGAAAAGGAGTGTGTATTCATACCTGTGGAGGACTGTGCGTTGGCGTCAGCCCCGTGGACCAGAAGCAACTTGACGATGTCGACGTAACCGCCGCTCGCCGCCGCCATCAGGGGCGTGATGTCACCTTTAATCCCCCGGTCCTCCACGTTGGCATGCATGGCCAGCAGCACCTAACAACCAATCACAGCAGGGGTCAGGGATTAGAGGTCATACAATGTCAATGTATGGGTTAGAGAGTTTGTGGGGGACTGAATGTCATTCTGACATAAAATAACCCCCCCCCCCAAAAAGAGGAGACACAATGTCTATTTTTGAAAAAGGACGATGACACACTTGTGCACAGACACACGCACTGCACTGTTCTCCCACTCACACAGACCCACCTGTGCGAGTTCATAGTATCCAGCAGAGCAGGCTAGGCAGAGCAGACTCTCTCCCTCCTCAGTGTGTTCGTTGACGCTCCGTCCCTCGTCTAGTAGCTTCCTCACAGCGTTCACGTCTCCGTCCGAACACGCCTCTGCTAGACTACGGCTGAAAATAACCAGACTGCTACAATTACTGCCACTGTGACAGGAGAACACACACACCCCTTACATACTGTACACACACACACACACACACTTACACAAACACAAAAATAATGCCCGCATACACACACCTCATAATCACACTTCTACTATTATTTTGACAGAGAAACTACCAGACAACACATGACTAAACTGTTTGATTGAGTGACATATTGATCTCTGAGTTAATACACTGACTGATTGACTGAAATTCTGATATTGATTGCTATATTCAGTGGTTGTCTTCTCATGTATTGATAGATATTTTGATGGATCTATTGATATATGGACTGGGGTAGATACATACTTGTCGGCCTGGCCAGCGTTGAGTGTGTTCTCTGCTCTCATGCGCGTCAGGGCGGCAGCTGCCTCGTCCAGGGCACAGCTCACTGACGACGTCAGCCTCCGCAGCACCTCGGGATCTGCAAAGGCTTTACCATCCGCAGTTGACAGTTTACCAATGCCTTCCGGGTTAAAGGTCATCACAGGCATGGAGGCAAAACCATACCAAAGAAGCCAGGCAGGTGATCGTAGAGGCAAATCCAGCCACAGCCAATCCAATCCATGGTTAGTAGAGGCATTCATAAAAAAACACAGAAACACACAAGCATGGGTTAGATCCAAGTCAGGAAAACTGAGATTTGAGAAGCTTAACTGTCTTGGGTATCTACACTGAGTGTACAAAACATTAGGAACACGTGCTCTTTCCATGACATAGACTGACCAGGTGAAAGTTATGATCCCTTATTGATGTCACTTGTTAAATCCACTTCAGTGTAGGTTAAATAAGGATTTTAAGCCTTGAGACAATTGAGACATGGATTGTGTATGTGTGCCATTCAGAGGCTGAATGGACAAGACGAAAGATTTAAGTGTCTTTGAACAGGGTATGGTAGTAAGTGCCAGGCGCACCAGTTTGAGTGTGTCAAGAACTGCAACGCTGCTGGGTTTTTCATGCTCAACAGTTTCCTGTGTGTATCAAGAATGATCCACCAACCAAAGGACATCCAGCCAACTTGACACAACTGTGGGAAGCATTGGAGTCAACATGGGCCAGCATCCCTGTGGAACGCTTTCAACACCTTGTAGAGTCGACGAATTGAGGCTGTTCTGAGGGTAAAAGGGGGTGCAACTCAATATTAGGAAGCGTTCCTAATGTTTTGTACACTCTGTGTATGTCTATATGTTAAAAAGGTCAAGAGGTCAAGAGTAATGTGAGAGTAGCTCCACCTTTCCCTCAGAGGCTAGGTGGAAATGTAGACATATTGCCTACACCGACTGACCAAGTCCTCACAGATCTCCCCAAGTGCCTGGGGGCTAGACTAGAGTCTAAGGTAGGGGTTAGGGTGCTACCTAAAGGGCTAGGAGCTAGCTAGTGTCTAGGGGCTAGCTAGTGTCTAGGGGGCTAGCTAGTGTCTAGGGGGTAGGGGCTAGCTAGGGGCTAGCTAGTGTCCAGGGGGTAGGGGCTAGCTAGTCTCTAGGGGGCTAGCTAGTGTCTAGGGGGCTAGCTAGTGTCCAGGGGGTAGGGGCTAGCTAGTGTCTAGGGGGTAGGGGCTAGCTAGGGGCTAGCTAGTGTCTAGGGGGCTAGCTAGTGTCTAGGGGGCTAGCTAGTGTCTATGGGGTAGGGGCTAGCTAGGGGCTAGCTAGTGTCCAGGGGGTAGGGGCTAGCTAGTGTCTAGGGGGTAGGGGCTAGCTAGTGTCTAGGGGGCTAGCTAGTGTCTAGGGGGTAGGGGCTAGCTAGTGTCTAGGGGGCTAGCTAGTGTCTAGGGGGTAGGGGCTAGCTAGTGTCTAGGGGGCTAGCTAGTGTCTAGGGGGTAGGGGCTAGCTAGTGTCTAGGGGGCTAGCTAGTGTCTAGGGGGTAGGGGCTAGCTAGTGTCTAGGGGGCTAGCTAGTGTCTAGGGGGTAGGGGCTAGCTAGTGTCTAGGGGGTAGGGGCTAGCTAGTGTCTAGGGGGCTAGCTAGTGTCTAGGGGGTAGGGGCTAGCTAGTGTCTAGGGGGCTAGCTAGTGTCTAGGGGGTAGGGGCTAGCTAGTGTCTAGGGGGCTAGCTAGTGTCTAGGGAGTGGGGGCTAGCTAGTGTCTAGGGGGTAGGGGCTAGCTAGTGTCTAGGGGGCAGGGGCTAGCTAGTGTCTAGGGGGCTAGCTAGTGTCTAGGGGGCTAGCTAGTGTCTAGGGGGCCAGCTAGTGTCTAGGGGGTAGGGGCTAGCTAGTGTCTAGGGGGTAGGGGCTAGCTAGTGTCTAGGGGGTAGGGGCTAGCTAGTGTCTAGGGGGCTAGCTAGTGTCTAGGGGGCTAGCTAGTGTCTAGGGGGCTAGCTAGTGTCTAGGGGGCTAGCTAGTGTCTAGGGGGCTAGCTAGTGTCTAGGGGCTAGGGACTAGCTAGGGGCCAGAAGGATAGGGGCGAGGGGCTTGGGGGTAGGGGCTAGCTAGGGGCGAGGGGATTGGGGGTTAGGGGCCTACAGGCTAGCAGGGTTTGTTTCATGCTCTGTACTCTACCTACTCTATGATGAGGCCTAGAGTGTTGGACAAGACAGGCACAGCTGGGAGAAAGTGTTGGACAAGACAGGCACTGCTGGGAGAAAGTGTTGGACAAGACAGGCACTGCTGGGAGAAAGTGTTGGACAAGACAGGCACTGCTGGGAGAAAGTGTTGGACAAGACAGGCACTGCTGGGAGAAAGTGTTGGACAAGACAGGCACTGCTGGGAGAAAGTGTTGGACAAGACAGGCACAGCTGGGAGAAAGTGTTGGACAAGACAGGCACTGCTGGGAGAAAGTGTTGGACAAGACAGGCACTGCTGGGAGAAAGTGTTGGACAAGACAGGCACAGCTGGGAGAAAGTGTTGGACAAGACAGGCACTGCTGGGAGAAAGTGTTGGACAAGACAGGCACTGCTGGGAGAAAGTGTTGGACAAGACAGGCACTGCTGGGAGAAAGTGTTGGACAAGACAGGCACTGCTGGGAGAAAGTGTTGGACAAGACAGGCACAGCTGGGAGAAAGTGTTGGACAAGACAGGCACAGCTGGGAGAAAGTGTTGGACAAGACAGGCACTGCTGGGAGAAAGTGTTGGACAAGACAGGCACTGCTGGGAGAAAGTGTTGGACAAGACAGGCACTGCTGGGAGAAAGTGTTGGACAAGACAGGCACTGCTGGGAGAAAGTGTTGGACAAGACAGGCACTGCTGGGAGAAAGTGTTGGACAAGACAGGCACTGCTGGGAGAAAGTGTTGGACAAGACAGGCACTGCTGGGAGAAAGTGTTGGACAAGACAGGCACTGCTGGGAGAAAGTGTTGGACAAGACAGGCACTGCTGGGAGAAAGTGTTGGACAAGACAGGCACTGCTGGGAGAAAGTGTTGGACAAGACAGGCACTGCTGGGAGAAAGTGTTGGACAAGACAGGCACTGCTGGGAGAAAGTGTTGGACAAGACAGGCACTGCTGGGAGAAAGTGTTGGACAAGACAGGCACTGCTGGGAGAAAAGCAGGAATGTCATACAACAGCGTGTGTGAGAGGGAGGGAGGCAGGGAGAGGACCGCGATGCAGGGAAGTAGAGGACCGCGATGCAGGGAAGTAGAGGACCGCGATGCAGGGAAGTAGAGGACCGCGATGCAGGGAAGAGGGAGGAGAGGACAGAGATGCAGGGAAGAGGACAGAGATGCAGGGAAGAGGACAGAGATGCAGGGAAGAGAGGGAGGAGAGGACAGAGATGCAGGGAAGAGAGGGAGGAGAGGAGGGAGAGGACAGCGATGCAGGGAAGAGAGGGAGGAGAGCAAGAGAGAGAAGCAGGCAGGAGGAAAAAACTGTGCTTGTTCTGTTAACCTACAGAGAAGGACCTCTTTCACAAGGAGCAAGACACACTTCCCATCCAGGGAGGTCATCCAAGCCAAAATACTGTGTGTGCGTTGACACGAGAGATGGGGGAGAAAGTGAGAGCAAGCTAGCAAGAGCCCAACTCTCCCCCCATATGTTTGCCTCTACCCTACATTAGTGGAAGTTCCAAGTTTTAGTTGTCACATGCACAAGTACAGTGAAATTCTTAACTTGCAAGCCCTACACAACAGTGCAGTAAAGTAAAGACAAAACACCAAAATAATTACTCACAAGCAAAGTTGGGTCAGAGCTCACAAGACACAGCCATACAGAATGGCACCATCTTTGTAACAGAAAAGTTTAGAAGTAAAACTGTGTGTTAGTGGGTGGGTCCTGCCAGTCAGCGTTTTCACCACCACTACCCTCTGCTCTGGCTGTGTGAGTGAGTCTAAACGTAGCCTACGCCTAACTGTCAGAAGGATTTCACAACGTTGCCCCAGGCGGGCCAGGCAGGGCAGGGAAAGTAGTGGAGGGCTGAGGTCTGGGGGGGGGGGGGGGGGGGGGGGTTGATCGTTGTATTGTCCTGTCTAAACAACATCTCGGCTTTCGACAAGAAGCAGTGTTACGCAGCTGTTTTTATTAATCTGGCTAAAGCCTTTGATTCTGTTAACCACTGCATCCTGCTCAACAGACTCAGCGACCAGAGGGTTCTCAGAGGATTGTCTAGCCTCACTCTACTACAGACCTTCCTAATACCAACAAAACTAAAATGTACCGGAACCTACCTCAACCTGCCTGCCCTCCTAACGTTCTCATCCTGAATTGGTCAGAGCTAGAGTGTCGACTAGGGCTGTCCCCCCCCCCCAAAAGAAATCTTAGCCGACCGAGAGTAGTCTGTTCTTTCGATTGGTCGATATTTTCAAACGTGTATTTTTCTATACATAGGCACATCCTATGTGTTTTAATAAAATCAACTATATGCACTAAGCGTGTCTGATGCTTTAAGCGCATTGTTTGATGAAATCATTAAGAAAAATGACTAGAGGGAGTCCGACTGCAATTGATTTGATTGTGCCGGGCCGGGCTCAGACTTGCTGCACTGTGTTAAAAAAAATGACAGTGAGTGACTGACTAGCACCCGTTGTCTGTCTCTCCTCCCTGCTGCAGCGACCACCACAGAACATCAACAGCGTTTATCGCGTTGTCCGTGTTGCTGAAGATGTAACGTAATTACAGCCATTTCTGACTGAAAAGTTCTGTTACCAAAATCCCTCATTTGTTTAGGAAAAACATTCCCTCGACCCTTGCTCTCTTTGTGACATAGGGCCTGACCTATATCATAATTACATCAATAAATTGGTTATAACAAACTCTGAACACTGTACCACATGCGACAGAAAAATGGATGCAGAGGCCGTGACAAACTCGAAACGGGGGAATGTTTACTGGTTGCTCAGGAGGTAAAGGGGAAGTCAAATGTGTGGAATAAATGTGACAAGTTGTGGAAAATACTGTAGATCAAGAAAAAAAAAAGGTAAGGATCAAGCGCTACGTGCATATTACGTGTGCCAAACAGGTGCTGTATAGATTACAATATAATTTCTCTAAAATTATAAGCATACCAGAGAGTCTGTTGTAACGTTTTTTTAATTATATTTTTATGCCTTTATTAGAGCAAAGACTAAAACCA